ATAGCACTCAGTGCCAGGGTTATATGATTTGGGTAATGTAACATGTCACACAAATGTACACATACATATTGAGACATCCAACTTGTGCTCAGTCTTTCCTGCATATTGTCTTCATTATGTTACAATACAGTTGTAAACATTTGGCTGATCATTATGATACAAAACAGTTGTAAACATTTGGCTGATCATTAACTTTTGTAAAAATTTCAGGATGTGGTTCGTAGATTTACTGTATCTTTGAGTTTGATGCTAAAATGTAGAATACTAGTATGTGTTCTCAATTTGATAAATTCATGGTGACCTGTCACCAACCACTAATTTAAAAACATAGCAAAAATTTAGCCTCCATAGCATGCCAAAAATGGGTGTTTTGGGGGTATTTGGATGCATTTATTTGCTATTTTCTGATTGCATATGGACAACATAGTCGGCCTGGTTGAATTACCCCTGTTTTTTTAACTGGGCTAATTAGAAAACAGCCGAAGACCAACCTAGTTCTATAAGCCTGCTAGCGAAAATTTCAAACGTTACAGTAGCAAGCCTTAGGCCCAAAGTCCAGAGTGAGTCCATGGTGTGAAATGTTGCTGTGGGCTGGGACCTTTTGTCTGTCAGAGATAAATGTGTTCAAGTGCTATTAACCTTTGACACCTACAGCAGGTGACATATTTCACACTTACTGCTATACTAGTATGTATTATGTTCTATGTAGACTGGAGGGATAAGATATTATCCTTGTCAGGAAAAACACATGGTTTTGCTGTTTGTCTTTTCTCTCATTGGTGATGTGACGTTCTACATCCTAAATGTAGTATGATACTAAAATATGCTCGTACCATCATTCATAAGAAAGTTTTGAAACTGCCTAAAGGGCAGCTAAACTGGGATGATTGTGGGCAACAGGAAATGAAGCCATTTGTCAACTGTCATTATTCCATAAAAAGTAGATCTTTATTGCTCTTTTATTTTTTGTCTTTTCATGGAGTTTATCGATAGATTATCCTTGTTGGTCTTTTGGTAAACTTTTATTTTTACATACTGAATTAGGAAGATTTGATGCTGGTGTGGACTTGAGAATTTGGATAATGTCTTGCAAGACTGCAAAATGTGGAATGACATTGTGAAATCAAAGATGATGATGAGAAAACTGTAAACAGACAACCTAATCCAACTCCACAGGTGGTATGAAATGGGGGTGTGGCTGGAATTTCTTCACAGTACTGTAAATCTTAATCAAAATGTTGTGGCGCTTTTATTTTTGCACTGACACTGGGAGTATATGTTTAATTTTTGTACAGTATTACAGAAGTTGGTCTGCTGTTTGAAGGAGCATATTTGCTGCTTTCGATTAGTCCTTTAGTAGACCAACTCGCCTGACATGTTATCTGTCTATTTGGCCATTTTCTACTATTTCAAGCTGCTTCTGAAGACTGCAACAGGTTAGTTGTTGTTCCCCAGCCAGTCTTGAGTGTGTTTGACAGGCCTGGATAGATACATGACTCCCCAGGGGTGAGCAGTATGTGCTGTACAGGAGCTCTCACCACATGTTTGGCTTTGTCATGCTGATTACATGGGCTCTGCTCATGCAACCTGTAAAAAATCCCTTTGGAAAGAAATTTCACGCTTTCTGTGACACAATGGTTTGAGCACAAAGCTTTCTATGCACAATGTAAATTCATTCCTTCAGTGTAATCCAATTCTGATGAGTAGGTATTTTCATTGAAGTGCCATTAAACACTGTATGATGTGTAATTTGCAATCCTTTTTGTTTATCTCAAACTGTCTGACTTCCAAAACCTTCAAAACATTGAAATTAATTGTTGTAATCCCCCAGTTAATCTCACACCAGCTCTAATTTGTGATGGGTTTTTGTTTGCCCTCTCCATCAAGAGTTAGGAAAAACAGACCTGTCCAATTAGAAGGTGTTTATTTTGTCACAAAAGGTGCTTTTAACCCAGACAGTCCTTATCATTGATGGATAGTTGTGTGCTACAGGGTCTGAGAGTTAATGACCTGGAACTGGTGTAGTGGCCACACCAGTCTGGGGCCACTTGTACTACCAGTGGTCGAAATACTTTTTTTCAGCGCTCTGCAATATTGCAGAAGAGTAAAAATTTTGTTCTGCAATTTGGAAATACTTTCTGCAAATACACAAGCCTCCATACTACAATCTTGCAGGTTTATAAGCATGAACTATTGATTCATATGCAAATTAGTGAAGACAAATTTTTGGAAGTCCAAAAGGAAACAAAAGATAAACAAGTCAAGACAAGGTTGATGCAAATTAGTGAAGAAGCTCCTGTTGTTTCAAAACAGGAGCTTAAGTGTTGTCTGTCCTTGGGGCCAAAAGCGTCAAATCCCAAGTGCCAATTTTTCCTGTTGCAAAATTGCAGATTGTATAAATTTTTCTTCTGCAATCTTGAAAATCTCTCTGCAGATTGCAGACTGCAGACAGGTATTTCGAACACTGACTACTGTAAACTTTGTTATGAAAATTAAAGCCTTCTTGGTTTTCTTACAATTTTGTACAGCTTCTGATTCGGATTCAGGAAAAGCACAGTTTGTTGTTGGAGTTGAAACGTTTGTGATCTTAAACTGTAGTTTTATGTTCCATAATGGTTTTACCTCCACACAAGTATGTTTGTGTTTTTATGAGATACCTTTCTCCTGCAAAAGGAAAAAAATTGCACCAAATTTGTACAAAAATAAAACAATGTACAGTAAATTTTGGCTGCAAGAGCAGACTTGAGTCTGTGCCTAGTGGGCGGAGCTTGTAGAGGGGATTCCCCCAATCCAGGGTCGCTTCCTGATTGGTCAATTTGTGGTCAACCCACAATACAGGAGATTCCCTTTCTTAGGATTATTCCATTTGCAAATAGAATAGGGAAATTTGATGACAAGTACAACATTGTTTTATTCCCGAATCCACATTATACTGTTTTTTTTCCAAGTTATTTTCACTGTGATGGTTTTGAGAGAGATACTTATTCATGATCAGCAGAAAAAATAGTAAATTTTCTAATTGTAACCCCTATTTGCTAAAGTCTGTGCCCTCCTTTTTTCACACTACACAGCTAAGTGTTTTAAGTGTGAAGATGCCTTGGGTAATCATCTCTTTTAGTGGCTTCCCTTTGAAGTGGTGTTATTGTAATTCTAATGTCTTGGGGGCTTGACTGGTGCTTAGGAGGACAGTCTATCCTTTGTTGAGAGTCTCTGGGGAAAAGGACATTAGATCAAGGAGCATTTGTGGAAGGTTCAGCTTCAAGCTGTTCTATGTTCTATTCTGAAGAGGTTTGTGTTGTACACTGTTACTTACATTGTATATGGTATCTGTAGTGCAGTAATGGCTATAACATGGTCCTACTTTGAAGTCTTGTTCAGAATACTTGAGAATTCTTTCAATTTGTTTTCTCAGTTACTTTCAGGAGGGCCTGCAAGGGGGGGTATTGATTACGAATTACGCCAAATTTTCGGCGCCGATTACGAATTACGTTAAATTCTGAGAGCTGATTACGAATTACGTTAAATCATGAGGATTCCAGACCGTCTAAAACACAGCAACTAATAGTTCTACGTCAAAACTATTGCCTTTGTGTTGGTTGGCGCATAGGCGGTAGCCTGGGTACCATCCTACTTGTATGCCGGGGCTCCCAAACTCGCTTCCCTAAGAAAGCGAGTGTGGGAGCCCCGGTATACAAGTAGGATGGTACCCAGGCTACATAGGCGGCAGATCCTGGATTTTTTTTGGCTCTTGCGGGTGCCAAAATCACCCGAAATCGGTTTCGAACCGGTGGCTGCTGAAGGCACCGATTTATGGTGTCCCAACTCACTCACCTGCCAGGAACGGGGGCAATATCACTACACAAACACCGAGATTAGAAATTTTGGTTGGGGGGGCAAGATTTCGGGCGCCGAAGGCGTCCGTCAGCGAGCGCCGCAGGCGCGAGCTTGCTAGGGGGGTCCGGGGGCAGGCCCCCCCCCCCGGGAAATTTTGAATTTTTAACCCCTCTGAAACGCTATTTCCAGCATTTTGAGACCTAAATTTTGACTTGACGGCATTATCCGTTGTGGATTGGACCATTTTGAAATCAGCCTACGCTCTTATGATCTCATGGATTACGCTTTACGTCGCATAAAAGTAACTAATTACGCTTTACGGAGAATAAAAACGACCAATTACGCGTTACGGCTAATGTACCGATTACGAATTACGATGATTTTGGACGACCGCCTACGGATTACGAAGGCTAAAAAGGCCTGATTACGCCTTACGAAAAAGGGCTTGCAGGTCCTCTTTTAGCTAACATCCTTCTGTCCACATGCCCATAGGGGAAAACATGATATTGTGGTTGTTTGGCAGCATTTTTAGTACAGCAAATGTATTTTCTTTTGCTGTGGTTTTATTTGAGGGAAAAAGAGTCACCAAGGGTCACCATCAAAATAAAACCACTGCAAACATTTCACAATTTACAGTAAAACTATACAATGACAAAGTAATTGGGTGTGTGTTGTAATACAACTTGTACAGCATAATTATGCAGTATTTATGTCATGCATGTGTTGTTTTTCATGTTGTCCAGACACAACAGTATCCTTGAAGTTGAAGAAACCTCAGAAGTCCTGAAGGAACTGAACTTACCAGGATGTCCCAAGGCTCCAACCCTCCCCTCAGCCAGGAGACCTTTAACCATCTATGGAGTCAGATCAACAGCGTGACTGACAATGGGTAAGAACAGCAGTCTGTCATTGTTAGGAACTTAATGTTAGCAATTTTATCTCCAAGAAGTAGATCTTGACTCGATACTAGGCATGTGAGGTGCCCAGAAACAACCATTGGCATTGGCAACCATTTCCCAAGAACTATCGTAGAGTGGAACTCGTTGCCACCAAGCACAGTTGGGGCATCATCACTAGAAAGCTTTAAACAACTCCTGAAATTAAATGTGCAAAGACTGAGTGTACCAAGTCGTTCAGTGTGATAGCTAGCTACAGCTGTGCCTGCGAAGCTGGTGTGTTACACCAAGGGTCAGCTATACCGGCTATACAGGTACAGATACAGAGAGACAGAATTGAAAGAAGGTGCATATACTTGTTTTGTTTGTCATAGAAAGCGGTTTCAGAAAGCATGGATGGAAAAAGCAACAAAAGTTTGTATAGGGTATATGATAATAATGTTAATGACCCGCCTGTCCATCAGTGCATATGGGGTCATCATGTGACTTGTGCTCACTTGGTTCAAACGGTGGTTATAGGAAATGAACAGGCTTCACTTATGACACCATATACACCTCAGGGAGGGTCATTAACCCTTATAAACTACTACCTTCGATATGTATCAGTTTTCAAGGCCAACATGCCTATGTTATTGATAAGAACTTTGTAGTACATATATATGTGTAAAGATTATTGTGTGGGAGGAGCGGGCTTCATCAATTGACCACTGGCACAAAGTGACATTGTTAGCATAGCCTTGAGTCGACATGAGCCAATGCCTGATATAATCATAGGGAAATTGTTTCATGTGTATGTATGCTAAGCATTGGAAACATAAAATGTATACAGTTTAGTTACTGGTATGTTTTCTTAAATCTTTCAACAGTTGCAAAGAGCAGGATTGTGGTTAACACCTTCAAGTAAGAAATGTGAAAAAGCGTTTTTTGTGTCAATGTAAAAGGGGGCAAACATGAGGCAATTCTATGGCCAAAATTGTGTGACCAGTTTGAACCAGATTTACAACGATGACATCATTATTGTCATGCCCATATTTGGCCATGCTGTTACCTGTAGAATACATCATGTCTTTATCCACATAAATAGACAATTGGCAACAAGCCAGATTTCTTTTGTTTGAGCCTGAATGTTAAATGCTGTGAAGTGTATTTTTTCTTCCATATTTGGTAATGTTGGGTTGAAGTTTGAATTGCCCAATGTTATGAAACCATAGGAGAGTCTATTGCGTAGAAGGTGTATTTGTTGTCATTAGCTATTTATAGACTATAGTGAATTTAGAATAATAAAAACTTTTGATCACCCATGTCTGATATTAACAGGTTCAAATTTAAAAGATTATTAAAAGCATATTTTTGTATGTCAAGAAAACTTAAAAAGATCATGAAATAGTTTTATATATGATGGCACCCCTCCATAACACACATCATGGTTTCTTCCTGGGAAAGTTTTTGAGCAATGGTAAAAGTTCCTGCATTCAGGGAGTTCTTCTATGCCACAGGTATGTCACAAAATGTTTCTTAGCTAACACTTCACTTATACCATAGGCTAAAGTTTAAGCACTATCTGGCTAGCTTTGGATATTTTACATTTTATGTTTTTTACCTGTCTACCTGCTCTTCAAAAGCAGGTTGTATCACTGCTATGTTTGGGTGGTGACTTATTTATACCCCATGTAGGCTGGCTGGGATTGGTCCACGATACTGGGCGATGTAATCATTGCTGATTGGTTGCATTGTTATTGGGATGGTCCAAGGTCTTTTAGCAGTAGGGGTAAACAGTGTTTTAGAAAGAGGACACATTTACTTTAGATATTATGTTTGGTTTATTATTTTCTTAAATTTATCTATACGTATTTCTAAACTCGTGGTGTCATGAATTCGTGTTCGTGTCAGTGATTATGAAATTATTTTTAGTTGTGAAATCTGCAGTATCCCCCCAGTGACTAAAATGGTGTGTTCCATGTTATTTGAATAAGGGGAATCCCCCGCATGTGCTTTAGTGTAATCTGAAGTTGCAGCGAAGTCAGAGGGTTTTTCTCCACACTCATGCTCGCTTTCCAGAGACGCTCTCAGCCAAGTATTTGGTAAGAAAAGCCTTCTTAAGAACAACCTAATCAAGGAGAGTGATAGAAATACTTCAGAGAAATGTGGGAATATTTTTCAGCAGCTAGAAAAGACTTAAAGTTAAACAAAAGGAGTACCATGTTTGTAAAATGCTCAGATATACTAACATGTCTTGATGTGCACTTTGGAGTGATGACATGGGTTTAAGTAAACATGTTACCTGTAGTTAGCTGTGGTCAGATTTGCTTTGGTGGTCGTAACATTGTGCCACCAAGCCACAAGTCAAACCATTTTTAAAAGAGTTTTTGTTTTGTTAAAAGATTTTTGAAGGACTTGTTTGGACGGGTTTAGTTGATGTGGGGTGTAGGGTGTGGAAGGCATAACATAGAGCAACTTGTAAGACCATGTGACTGATACTATAGTGATAGGTCATTATACATGTATGACAATTCTTTTCTCTATGAGCTGTAAGTGCACCAGACAATGTCTAATAATCTGTGGCAGTCCTGACTCAGTTTCTAAGTTTGTAAATAGTTAAGCCTGCCTCATTTGAATAGCAGCATGTCCCAACACTAAGGTACCTAATACATTCAGGGGAATCCCCTTAGCCATGGCTAGAAGGGTTTGGCCTATTCACATGCTCCCTCAGGCCTTTAAAGTACTCATTTCTATATTTCTTTTGTTAATTTAAGTATAATTAGCTGGGTTGATGTTTCAGAATTCTTAAAATTCATTTTCAAGCCCTGTTTTGTCAAGATATAATGAAGAGTAAAGAACATTCTAGAATGTTCTTTTCATATGTCAGGTGATTTCCCTGGTACTTTTTCATAGTCATTGGAAAGTTTAGTAGTTGGTGAAAAATTACATGTATATTGAAAAATTTGTCTGGCATGGCTAATAACTTTCATATTCAATTTGCCTTTCCCATGTTATCTGCTATTGATTGTTTTTGTGTTTGTTGTTGTATTAGTGGTATGAAGATTAAACTTTAGAACTGTAGGTTCTAAGAAGGTGTGTTTGTGTTTGCACAGTACAGACAATGGCTTTCTGACCTTTGGTTTGGTTGTTGAACTCGGCTTATGAAAGGAATGTTCTTCCGTGAACAATTATGCCCCAAGCTATACGTGTGCAATCCATGCTATCCTTTTCTGGGGGCTCTTCCTTTTTTTCACGGAAAGATTATTTGGTTAAACAAAAGTATTTGGGGGGGGGGTGGAATCTTGTAAATGTGTTTAACTTTAACTGACAACTTTTGGCAGGTGAGATGGATTTGTCAGTGTTGCCTTTTCTGTCTTCTCTCAAGGAAATGAAGTAAAGCAAAAATATGCAAAGGATGGTCATATTTTCTACTTTCTTCAACGTTTGGAAAACATGTGGGCTAGCCTGATTACCAAACCTATTTTAGCTACCAAGTCTAGTATAAGCTAACACAGTTATCAGTAAGAACAGAGAGGACTGAAAACCAGAACTCTGACAAACCACATTACACTAAAAGTAGTATAAGTCACCAGAAAAAAGTATTATACAATGTTACCTGATGACTTTTTTTCCTTTATAGATTCTGAATTTTTGTTCTCTCCAGTGCTTGTTTTTTTACTTGAATACATTTTTTTTCTTCTCCAGGGCATTGACCCAGGCAGTGACCCAGCCGCTGGACTATGAGTTCAGCGAGGCCGACACCGGACAGAACAGGATCGACTTTGAGGTCAAGAGTTACCAGCTCAAGGCCATGGACAGCTTTGAACTGGTGAGTAGCTGTTCTATGTTCTGTTCTGAAGAGGTTTGTAGTATACACTATTATCTATCTGTAGAGTCTGTAGTGCAGAACATCGTCCAGCTTGGAAGTGTCTTGGACAGCTTCAAACTGGTATTTCAGGGTTTGTTACAATGGTGTCTTTCAGTTTCCAATGTGAAACAAGTAAGCCTTTTCCTTATGTAGATCTGTAAAAAAGCTTTTCCATCAAGAGATTCTATTGTGTTTTTAATGTGTTGAAGCTACAGGGCTTGATAGAAATATAGTAAGTTTTCCTTCCTTGTACTTGAGGGTTTGTAGCAACAAGTATTACTATTTTACTGTAAGAAACAAGAATATGTTGAGGGTTTGTACGAAATTGTCAGGACTTTTTTCTGCACAAATTGACTTTTTTGTAATTTCATGCTTTCTTTTTTCAAGATGGCGGGCCAGTTGAGTCATCTACCGTCCCTTCCCAACGTGTCCAGCAGTTTCCTGAACGCTCTCGGCGGCACAGACCCCGACCAACCCAGCACCAGCGCTGGCCTTACCTCCGGACTCACTACCTACACAGCCACACCTAGCAACATGCCTAGCAACGTGCCCAACACGTCTCCGGGCGTGGCACCCGCTGCGCCTAGCAACTGCGCCACACCCGGCAGCCCATACTCGGCCAGCAGTGAGCATGTAAGTGTTCAAGTTTATCAGATAAGATTAGTGCTGTGTACCAGTTCGCTGGACCGATTACGGACTCGTAAAAATGTTTAGGTTCAAGTCAAAAAAAATCTATAAGTCAAGAACCGATTCCGGACTTATTATAAAAAAAACATGTCACATACACCTTTTCTTACCAAACCACCTAAAACCTTCCATAGATGACAAAATCTGTGCTGCAAAATGAAGAAAACATTGCCATTGGGCATTGTCAAGGGTCGGCCTCCATGTTATGTGGCCACAGTTTTGCCCCTACAACATTGCAAGGTTGCAAACATGCAATTATGTATATGCCATGGGTTCAGGTCCAGACTTACGAGTCCGGAACTGAACCTAAACCTCTGGACTTAAATCCGGACTTAAAACCAACCAAAAATTATGAAAAAAAGTTGTTGCAAATTTGAAGGCTGTTATTACAAATTACCTTTTCCAGAAAATAGATGGATAGTACAATAGTTGGTACCCTGATAATTTTTGCACACTTTGTTGGCTTTTAGGCATTGAAGGCCACTTTGCTATTGATTTGAAACACAACTATAGATTACATGCAAGAAGCACCAATTCAGAAATATCATAGTCATAGTTTTGTTGTCTGGTTGGAAAAATTTTTGGCGTGTTTTGATGTTACGAATCAATATTCCGTATTGTTACAGCTGTGAATAACATCACAAGTTTTTAAATGGTTTATTGGTATAACTCAACTACAGTCACGTTGTTGCAGATATATTGATTTTTATGTGGAAAACAATGGAAGTCCCGTGTGAAGGTGATCATCTGAGAACAATGACAGGTGGTGTCAAAATCAATCAGAGCAAACTTTCGCCCACATCAAAAAAAATTGAGTCGTCCTTCGGTAAACAGTGTGACCGCACGCGGTATATTTTCCCTACCCACGCGAAGAACTTTTCCGATATCAACACTGTTGATTAGGTGTTCACGTGTGAAACGTACTAGAGAGAAATTTTGGTCGATTTTCATAGGATGTTATCTCTCCTTATGTAAAGTTAATGATTTTCCCTGTTTTCACAGAACATGACCCCACCTCCAGTGTATCCTGTACAGTCCCCGGTTGGACAGATCCCATCCAAGTAAGTCCTACATGTTTGTCTTATTTCTAAGCCTAAAGTAGCTAGGGGATCAAAATGAAAATAGATATAAAAGATGAAATAGAATTTGGAAGGAATGGCTTCTGTTGTCTCAGTACACAATCACTCATGCAGATGATTTGTGTTTAAAGCAAGGGTTAAGTTACTTTTTCTGTACACTTTTGGAAAGTTTTTTTTTTGCATTGGGAAGAATATGTTTATATCATAAGCACATCAAATAAGTCAATATTTTGTTGTTTACTCCCCAGTACTGACTACCCTGGCCCGTATGGGTTCGAGTTCTCCTTTGGACCACAACAGACCAACACAGCAAAGAGTGCCACCTGGACAGTAAGTATTACTGTATTCCTCGCAATCATGAAAATGGCTTTATTTTGTAACTTGGCATCATAGCTCACAACTAAGGTAGCATACCTTTGGCCTGAGTTAAAATCCACCTGGGAAAAGATTATTTCTTGTGTTGAACCTTGTAATATATAACTAAGAAACTGAGGTTAAAATGTAACTTGATAAATGTTAATATGCATCCTTAGTTTTATCTGACGAGCTTGTGATGATTTAACTTTGGTCTGTCAACAGTTATAGTTGGTTGTGATTATGGACACTTTCTCTTGACTACATTTTTGACATGAGTATGATGCATATTCCTTTTATATAGCAGCCAACAAGAACCAGTAAATGAAATGTAAGAACTCAAAAAAGCAACATTCCTTCCCCCTCTTATAGTACTCAGAGGTTTTGAACAAGCTGTATGTCAGAATGGCCCTGACCTGTCCTGTCAAGTTCAAGACCAGGACTCCGGTCCAGCCCGGGTGTTTCATCCGTGCCATGCCGCTGTACAAGAAACCTGAGCATGTGACGGAGGTGGTGAGACGCTGCCACAACCACACCGCTGCTAAGGAGTTCAATGGTGAGTTGTTGGCTGTTGCTATGTATTTGTGCCTTGTTATGTGTACATATAATAGATATAGTATTTTAATGTAAAGATGTAAAATTGTAAAAAATTGAATACCTACAGCAAACTACATCTGTTCAACAAACTACACAATATTTTATTTGAAATGTCTGGTATTTCACATAAAATGCTTTAGTCATTTGCCACTATAGTGTATCAATATTTCTAAGAAACCACAGTTTGAAAGGTGTTCTTTTTCTAATACATGTACTTGTGAAATACATATTCTGGTATATTGATATAGAATCTTGTTCACAAAATATCAAAACTGTAACTTTAATCGATTAATGTACGGAAGCAGTACTTGGTATCTAGATCAAGTGATTGTATATTGAATATTGCATTTGTGTGACTGGAACTGTTGTGTTTCCTCCCCAGACCACCCTGCTCCATCCCACCTGATCCGTGTAGAGGGAAACCCCAACGCTCAGTACTGGGATGACCCGCACACTCACAGGCAGAGTGTCACCATCATGTACCAGAGCCCTCAGGGTAAGCTGGGTCCTTAATTTATAAATATCTGCTGTACATTTGTAGAACTATGGCTAATATTTTTAGTGTACAGTCAACCAGCATAGGACAAAAGTAGAATGTAAAACTCTTTGGAGGGCCTAAAAAAATTTTTTTTACACCTTTTCAAGTTACTTATATCAGCTTGTGCTTCAGAATTGTCCAACCATTTTCATCAAATTAAAACAAATCATGCATATATCAGTTCTAGAGTCTGCTACGATGGCATATTTTGTTGCACAAAAGCAGAAGTTGTAAATGACTTTGTCGTGGCCTGTATATGGCCTCCTTCGGTCAGTATTGACCATAGCCTTACAGTATGTGTTTACATCCCACAGCCGGTACAGAGTACAACACTGTCCTGTACAACTTCATGTGTTTCTCCTCCTGTGTGGGGGGGCTGAACAGACGACCGACACAGGTCATCTTCACGCTGGAGACTGGGTGAGTCAGTAGTCTGTTTTCTACCGAAGCTTTGCCCTGTTTTATCTTCTGAGTTGGATCAACTGTGTCTAGTTACATAGTTTGTGCATGGGGGTAAAAGAGTTTTTTCTACCTCCATGGTTTGTGTTACAGAATCTCCTATTGTTTCTTCAGTCAACTTCCTATTTTGTTTATTCGGTCAATTTCCTTTTTTGAAGTAAGAAAACATGTCATATACCGGTACCAAAGATTGACAAAGAATGTTCTCCTTTTATGACCCTCGTAGTCAAACTCATTGATGAAGTGTTGCTGTGTTACAGTGCCACCTAGTGGCTGATACTGGTATGACAGGAAATACTCTTGCTGTAATGCAATGCCACCAGGCAGTTACCACCAGTACATTGTTGTAGATGTATGAACATCATGGTTTGTCTAGTTCCATAAGGAATACAAATTTTCCAGAACTAACTAGATTTCGAAAACTAGGAAACTTAATTTTGCACACAGTTAAATCAATTTTTTGTAACCCCAGCCAGGGCCAGGTGTTGGGTCGTCGTGTGGTGGAGGTTCGGATCTGTGCCTGTCCTGGGAGAGACCGGAAGAGTGAAGAGAAGACTCACTACAAGTCTCACGGTCACCAGTCATCTGAGTCCAACACACCTGTCAAGAACAAGAAGGGTTGGTTCACCTTTTGTTTTACGGATTGGGCAAAAAGGAAAATATGTCCCAGATAGAATCTGTATTTCATCAGTAACTAAAATTTTTATCCACAATTATCTTTTATCAGGGACTGAGGCTATCTGAAACGTCTAAGTTCAGTAGCTTTGTTTACTTTGTATGATGTAATCATTATTCTATTTTGGCACTTCAGGTGTGAAGAGAATGTCTCAAGGCTTTACCATTACCACCCTGGGCAGCAAGAAGAGAAAGACTCATGACGACAATGTCTACTATGTACCGGTAAGTTTGTAACAGTGACAATGGTTGATTAAAAACCATTCAAGTTTTTGTAGTTTCAAAGTTTGGAAGGAAAGTGCAAATATACTAGAAATCATTTCATAAACGTTAAAGAGGAGTGATTTTTCGATGTTGTTTTGTGTCCCCCAGGTACGAGGCAGAGAGAACTACGAGATCCTGATGCGAATTAAAGAGTCTCTGGAACTGATGCAGATGATCCCCAAAGCTCAGGTGGAACAGTACCGCGCCACGCAGGCCAACCTCTCCAAAATGTGAGCTCACTGGACTGCAATTTCCTGTTGTCCTCTTCTACATGCATTTGATCCTGTTGTTTTAAAATAGTTAAGTCAGTCATTGAAGACTGAGTGAGTGAGTGAGAGAGAGAGAGAGAGAGAGAGAGAGATTCTAAAACATCGCATGTAGGTTATACGAAAACATGAAATCATTTTTTGTACAGAGGCAACCTTTGTCGGTCTGTCCAACAAAGTCATCATAATATATCATTTCTGCTCGTTGCTTTTTTATTATAAAATTTACACTAATATTTTACTGTACTCCCCACTCTTCCAGGCCCTCCCTCCACACAGGCCTGAACAGAACAGACTCCTTCAGTAACTCTCCCCTCCACACCGACCACAAGCATGACCACACCCCTACTTCCCAGTTGGACCAGTCCGGAGCATCCCACAGCAGTACAGACACCATCTCCCCTCACAACGGTCACCCGCCCGCCGAGTCAGAGGGAACAGTCGCTGAGTAAGTCTGATTCAGATAGTTTTTATCTTGAAAACTCATTTGTGGTGGTAGAAGTCAATGGGAGCAAGTTTGAACTGCAATAACCAACACAAAAAATTAGATTTACCGAAATTTTTGACTGTGTAAAGCAGTGGATTGCTCATCCCTTGAGAAAGACTGGAGTTGCACAGTCCAAAAGTCAATTTTAAATTTTTGACTGTATAACTACAGCCTTTGTCAAGGAATGAGTGATCCACAGCTTTCATGACTCGTGAGCCAATTTTGGAGCTATTTCAAATGCTTCAAATACGAAATAATGATGAAAAAATGTGCTAAGAAATGTCATTAGTGTTAAGTTTTAATATCAGGCAGATTTCCTCATCCAGAATATTTTTTGTTGTTTGGATCAACTTTATAACACATTTACCTTCCCTCCCACAGCTGGCTGACTAAGCTGGGTTGTGCCTCCTGTATCGAGGCTTTCCACCGCAAGAGGATCAACTTCCTGTCACAGCTGGAGGAAATTAACCTACAGGTGGGTGGTTCAGTCCAAAGGATGCTAGTCACCCCCATCCTATCAGTAGTTCAGTTCAAAATTACATGGTAGAAACTGCTGTGAAGTATGTCGAATTATATCATTTGAAAGTACAAAAGGCAAACATAAAATGTTCCTGCTATATAGATTCTAAAGTTAAAGTTATCATGTGTGTATCTGGGGTAGGCCATGATTTGGTATGATGTCTTTTGATTGAAATAGAGTGTTTTACATACAGGATTCACATTGCATAACTTATTGAAGTGTCAGCAATGCCTTAGCTCTTTTTCAGCACTTATGAGCAAACAGCAAGAAATGTTACTACAGTCTGTTAATTTGGCTTTTTTCCCCTACACAGGACCTTCATGAAATGAAGCTAACAGAAAGACTGGTGGACAAGATCTGGAAGGGAATTATCGAGTATAAGGCTTCAAAGGACTTTTCAGGTGGGCTACAAACTAACAAAGTCAAACTCCCTGCTGCCTAACATAACTAATACAAATTTGGTGCCAACCTTAGCATGCTGAAGGTTTATAGTAGTATGTTTAAGGACTGTTAGAAGTCTCTATAGTTGTAGTTGGCAATAGTTATGTTTGCCTTTTGCAGAAGTTCATAAGTATTATTTTCCCACAGACACACCCTCCCTCCTGAGAAGAAGCAGCACGGCATCGACAGTTGACCTGAACGGCTCGGGCGGGGTCCTGGCCACTGGGGGCGTGGTCGAGGCCACACGCTTCACCCTCAAACAAACCATCTCACTGGACGACATCAAGGTGTGCATACAGAACATTTTTGCAAAACGTGAACGTGTTAATGTTGTGAAGAAGTGGAGACTCGTACATACACTGTGAACCTACATTGTAGGCTGACCTGTTTTAGTTATCAGTTAAGTGTGTTTAACTGTGTTGTAAACAAGTAGTAGACAGTTTGTTTTTAAGTAAAATTTGTAAAACAAGTACAATGCCATTCAGCTCATGGCTGCAATGTGCTTGTATGGCCAATAAACGTTAAAACCTTTCATTCATTTATTCACTTACTCATTTAATTCCAGGTGAAACAAGAGAAGCTTGAAGAAGAAGAGGAGGAAGAGTGGGAGGAAGAGGAGGTGGAGATGGGCTTGAATCAACAGAATGACCACGACTATGTTTGAGCCAACAAACATAGCTGGAAAGTTCATCAAGTGTTGATAGAAGTCATTCTGAAACAGGGTTTGAACTTTAATTCCCACACAAAATTTGAAGTTACCCAAATTTATATGTCATGTCTTTTTTGTATTTCCTTGACAAAGACTGGGGTTGAACAGTTAAAAAATTGGGTATTTTGTGTTAATTGGAAATTACAGTTCAAACTTGTTTCATAACAGATAAAACAAGCACTCTGTAAATAGCTTTTGATAAAAGTCACTAAAACTTGGACCAGATAGTTAGCTTACCTGCTAATCTGGAGTATCCACTGGTGTAGTTTATTATATCAGCTGTTCTATGGTGAGAATTTCACTGTTAGAAATTGTAAGCAATACCAGTTTGAACATTAGTAGTTTTGAATTGGTAGCTGAAAGTGACCACACAAATAGATCTGTGATATTCACATGATTTATGTTGAAAAGTGAAAAGAAAAGTTTGATAACTTGATCTGAAGATAGAAAGCAGATGGTTGTATGAAGGAGTGGAAGGACTAGTTTTGTTACATCATTTTCTGAGCCAGTCTGGTTACTGGTGCTGTTACTTTGCATAGCCAATACTAGTACGTACTATAGACCTTGTAAATACACAACTGTATGCTGAGGTGCAGCAGTGTTAAACTTGCTTGACTGTATTCTGAGCAGTTACGTAGGGTACCTAACCTAGACTTGTTTAGTCTAATCCATCACTTATCTTTGGTTCTGTTAGCATGGAAAATATTGGACTAAGGAGACATTATGGTTTGCTACTTGTCTATTGCTTATATGACCTAAAGAAAAAAAAAGAAAAACATTCCTGTGACTTTTAAGTGCAAGCACCTTAATAGGCCACATCTCAGAAGCTGGACTGTGAAAATTAGAAAAGGACTGTTGAACAAAGAAAAACTTGGAATGTCAGCTTGGAGTATCAAAATTATGCATTTGTTGAGTTTTTCCTGCTGGCTTTCAGTGTGATGCAGTATTCCATCAACTGTTACAGTTTTCTGTCAGCTATTTTGCAGTACATATTAGAAGAGTGTTGATTCTATTAGGTGCATTACTCCATATCAGTAACTGTTGTAGTGTACAAGAAAAGTACGTATAGAACTACATGTACTCTATTGGAGAACAAAGAGTCCATTATTTTGACCGGTGCTCGTAACAGTTTTTGGAGAAAACCTCAGTACCAAACAAGTCGTATTTTGTGTAAATATTACTATTGTTTCAAACTTATAGATGACTATAAAATAAGTTGTTCTGTGCCATGTTATTGTTAAGACGAACTGGCATTTCAGTGTTTTGTTACATATATTTACTAAGTTCAGTTGTTACATGTTGACTTATGTCGAGGACATAAAATGTTCATTTTTGTTATATCTGTTCTGTCTATGGTAACCTGTTTGAAAGTTTTTTTTAATAAAATAGAAATAAAAAGATGACCTTGGTCGGTATGTACTTCTTGGTTGGATAAGTGAATAATACCTAACACTTGGGGTAAAAAAATTATCTTAGTATATAGAAAAGGCAATTGAGTAGGCATGAAAAAGTAATGCACAGAATTTGTTTTGTAACGTTATGCTTTTTAATTGCAGCATTCAGACAAAAACACATCAAGACTGTAGTATGTTGTACATGTACCTGTTTTCTTACTCAACCTGCACGTACAGCCACATCAAAATCACACATTTACAGTGCATAAATAGGACTAGAATCCAGATCGTGCAAACATGGTTCCAGTTCTGGTAATAATCAAGACAATATAGAGCAATCATTGTGGGCAATAAATACAAATAACACAAGTGCAAATACAGGAAGACAAATGTGACAAATTTTGGTTTCATGATTTTTTAAGTCGGCTGAGTTTTGAACAAGAATTGTCCTATTAAACAGGCAGATAACAGGAGTCTGCTGAGAGAGGCAAACTGTACTCCACTAGCAGATCAACTCCCTGGCAGGTTATCTTTCTATTTGGTCAATTTCTACTCTCTCCAGCTGCTTCTGAGACCTGATGGATGCTATTATGATTTAGACAGTGAGTGAGCAGGAATCATCTTCACTATCCACTGCCATCACTGGCCTGGTATGTCTACAAGCCTGGGCAGACTTTCCTCCATTTGGCCAATTTCTACTCTTAACCAGCCATCTCTGCAGCCTGGTAGAGGCTAGTACAATTCAGAATGATTAGTTCAGTCACTATCATCATCACTGTCCTCTGCCATCTCATTATCACCAGTCTGGTACGTCCGTGCCAGCCTACGCAGACTCTCCACGGCCTCCTTAAACTCATCCTCCTCCAGCCCAGCGTCCAGGAACCTGTGGAACCTCCTGATGTCCAGCTTCTCCACCTCTCCGTGGAGCGCAGTCAGACAGCCCTGTAATCCTGATGGGGAGGACAGGGATGTCATCGCTGGGACCTGAGGAACAGGAATCAGACATGAACAAAACATGCAGGCACAAACCATGTGCCAGCTTTGTAAATGAAGGTAATTGTTACATATCCAGGTTATGAGACACAGAGACACACAGACATTTCAAATAGCATCCACTACTTTTCATCAGTTGCTTGAGTAACAATTTCCTTGTGAATATACAAGCTCTTTGTACCATGTATGTGTAAAAATATGTGTATAGATTTATTAGAACTTTAAAAAATGGAAGCTGTGTCTTTGTTATATATTTTGTCTGACCCTAACCTCTTCCTTTATGACCTAAATGTAAAGCAGCCTGCAGGCCAATTTGAGCTTCTTATGAGTAAATAAAAGTGCTAACCTTCTCTACTCCCTGCATCGGTGACCTCGGCTTGAACCCAACCAACCCGTCGTGAGCGATCTCTGGCTGGAACAGATGTGGAAATGGAGTGGTGACCGTCATCGGTTCATTCACAACTGTCCCTGCATTCAGCGTTCCTGGGTACACACGCTGGAGATAACGTTTCAAGCAATCGTTAACAGATCTGCAGTCTCTGAAGATGCTATCAGCATGTGCAGCTGGGTCAGGTATACGTATCCTGTTAGACGGCACTCCTCTTAACACGACTGACTGCATGAATGTTCTCCCAGGTTCCTTCACACCAGGACACAGGCTCACCAAGTCTGGTGCTGCCACAAACTGGCTGAGGCTGGCAGCGAGTGAGCCGTCCAAGGTTATAGGGAAGGGAAGCCTTGCCGAGAGTGCTGCCATCTTACGGCCCGAGTAGTTTAGGGTACCGGTTAGGTCAGTCATGAGGACTGCATCACTCCGCGTACGATACGGCAGCGTGCACGTGTCTAGTGTGGCGGCCAGGATGCCTGCTGTGTGGTAGTGCAGCGTGGGGTTATAGGTCATGTACGGGAAGGATGCCGTGGGTCCAGGGTCGCGCCCTAACCCTGCAGCAACCGATAACGGTGCATACAATGAGCTACTCGTAGATAACTTAGTCACAGACAACACAGTACAGATGAGCCTGTGGTAGTCAACTATAGGGCTTCTTCTGACATACACTGATGGGTAACAACCGAATGTTAAGATCCCCTTATTGTCGTAGTCTTCTGACATCTGTTCTAAAACCTCAGCTGCCAGCCCACCGAAACCGTTATAAGGGTCTACAAGCACCTGGAACCCCTGTAAACTATCACAGTCCTCCACAAAGAAGTGTAGCCGGTCCTCTAAGTCTGACGAGACCCTCGGAGTCCCCAAAAGCTGCTGTCCGTAGTCGAACACATCAAACATGTCCTGCTCTAGGTCGTGAGCGTACTCGGAGAGGATGGACACGGTTCTGGGGTGCAGGTGGATCCGGAGGAAGTCTGACCAGACCGAGACGCTGCCGTCCAGGTTGTAGAGTTTGCTGCGGAACACTTCCAGCGGGTTGGTGGAGGAGTGAGGCGTCGCCTCTTGGATTTCATCGTGTGAGTCTTCAGTCCCCGCAGAGGAGGCATCTTCTTCTGTAGGTAACTCTCCCTGGATAGAATCATAACAACATGATAATGTACAGTCATAATGTATGGTCTTAGTCTGTGATTGTGGTGTAGGTTACCCAAGCATGATTCTCCCAATATATTGATATATTGATCTGAATTGTTAGTCATTGCCGATTTCCTCAAAATAAACATTAAAAAACAACACATTTGAGAACATAATAAATCCACCTTTCTTCCTGATTTTTGTACATGTACTATGCACACTCTATGGTTAAGACTGTTCATCACCTTGTCGATCCTTTCCAAGTCTTTCAGGAACTGATTTTTGCCGGATGTTTCGGAGGTGTGGAGCGTGACATCACCCATCCAGTGGACCTCATTGTCCTTCTCCATCACGTCATACAGCGTACCATCCTCCTTCAGCGTGTTCAGACTGCCCTTCAGATCATACAGGAGCAACCTGTGGCAAGGTGATCTTATGGTTAGGGCTGTTGACTCAGAATCTGGGGGTTCTGGGTTTGAATCCCTGATAGGCCCATTGTTGTGTCCTTGTTCAAACCTTACAGTTACAGTCAAGTCTTATGCAGCTTGTACTTACTGTACAAAACTCAACTGGTGTGTTACACCTAAAGGTCTGCGAGTTATGCGAAAAAAACAAAGCTCTTTTTTCGACAAGTACAAGGAACAGTGGACCACAGCTTAATATCCCATCCTAAGGACTGCAACCATTTACAGTAGTGGCAGGCATGTCGGGTGAGCGACAACAGCTGGGATTCAAACTCCTAACCTCTTGGTCCAGAGGCAGGATGGCTAACCACTGAACCATGCAAACTACTGAGTGAGTGAACACTCACACTCACTCACTGTCTGGTTAACATTTAACATTGGCATGTGTAACAAGTATACTGTGTAATCCAACATGGCAAGTGTGAAGCCCCTAAGACAATACCTTGGGGTGTAAGTTTGCTCTCCTGTAAGCGTCAAGCCCTCTCGGAAAAGAACATCGTGGTTGATTTCGGACGGACTGGATCCGGAGGATGTGTCGTAGCAGAAGGAAGACTCCTGCACGTTCCACCAGTGGGTTCCCACGAAGTTGGCGTAGTGACCAAACTGCAAGGTCACGACCTCTCGGGTAGAACTGGCCATGTTGGGGAGGGGGGAGGGGGGCAGGGGTTACCTGTTGGCAAGAAAGGGTGGAAGTTTTTTCCAAGAAATTATATAAATGCCTGAGGCTATTGACAGGATCGTCCTGTCAACAGCAGGAAATACTGCACTGCTGACAGGATCGTCCTGTCAATAGCAGAAAATACTGCACTGCTGACAGGACGATCCTGTCAATAGCAGAAAATATTGCACTGCTGACAGGACGATCCTGTCAATAACAGGAAATACTGCATTGCTGACAGGATCGTCCTGTCAGCAGTGCCATTTTTGACACTGTTGACAGGATCGTCCTGTCAGCAGTGCCATTTTTGGCACTATTGACAGGATTTTTTAAATCTTCCATTTTGGGCTCTATTGACATGATTTCTTCTTTGTTTTCATTTGTTTAACCAGTCAGAAGGCATATGCTACTCAGTAGTACTGCAGATTAGGCGTTTCACGATGGCGGCTATCATCACGTTAACTGAGTTATCAATACAGAGTACTCCAGCAGATATATGTCAAAACTAGACATGTTCAAAATATAAATACAAGCGAATTTCATGCATAAGCTGTCTGAAATACGAAGGCGGTTACATAAGATGAAGACAATAAAAAAGACAAAAAGAAGTTGATCTCTATCCATTATTTATTCTTTCAACAACTTCGAAATCAAATGGAACAAATCCAGGAAAGTACCGCTGGTGTGGCCGGTTCAGCTAGCCGGCCCGCTAACAACAACAGCCCCCTGGCGCGCGTATCCAGCTGGCCACCGAATTTTACCGGCCCCACTGGGCCCCACAGTACCGGCAAAGGAACGCTGCAGGGCCTGGCACGCTGGTTAGTGTTACTGGGGGGCGGGTTGTTGTGTTGCTGTTAGCACGCCTGGCGGTTAACCCTGGGTGCCCCAGAGTCCGGCGTTTATTTGGCGATAGATTTCGGGAGAAACCGTATTTGTCCATCCGCTACCATTATCCACCCAAACCCCTTCGTCCACGCGAAGCCCTCTATATAAACGCCTCATGCGCGAGGAGACTTATTTAGAATTTAGACCCAGTGTGCCAAGTAGGTCTGCCGGGAGTATGGCTTCCCGTGACTTTTACTTAGGAGATAGACACTCGCGCGCGGGGTGGCACCCAGGCTAGCCCGACGGGTACCCGCCGGTGGACCGCTGTGTCATTCCCGCGGCGCCGGCTGTAATGGCTAGCGCTTACTGTCGCCCCGACTAGCCTCTACCAGGCACCGTGGATCGCTGGAAAAATAATAGAAATTGGCCGAAATAAAGGGAATATATACCAAGGGAGTTAGCCGGCCAGAGAAGCTCCAATTGGCGACCTTGGTCTTTATTCCCTTTATTTCGGCCAATTTCTACTATTTTTCCAGCGATCCGCGGTGCCTGGTAGAGGCTAGTCGGGGCGACAGGCACGCACTGCCGCCGCATTGCTTACGGGAGGCCAGGCGCGCGCTACCGAGCGGGGGATCAATGTATGCACGACGATCTGCAGGGGCCGCAGCGCAGGATCGTAAAAAATGGCCTAATAGCATACATAATAACACCTACATAAGACCTACACGAACCAGCGCCCACCCCAAAATTTCCAGTATGAAATAAAAATACCAAAATTTTATCGATCCTGTCAGCAGTGCAATATTTTCTGCTATTGACAGGACGATCCTGTCAGCAGTGCAGTATTTTCTGCTATTGACAGGACGATCCTGTCAGCAGTGCAATATTTTCTGCTATTGACAGGACGATCCTGTCAGCAGTGCAATATTTTCTGCTATTGACAGGACTATCCTGTCAATAGCCACAGGCTATATAAATTATTGTAGAGCTATATAGAGTGGAACTTGCACTGTTAAGGCATCTTCATTAGATTGCTTTTGACAAAGTTTAAAGTTAGATATGCAAAGGTTAGGTGTAACAAGTCGTTTGGTGGTAAAGTTGTTAAATTTTCATTTCCTGGGGCTCTTTGGACTAGGAGTGTGGAGAGAGCAGTGGGGAGGGGGGCACCTTAGCAAAGATATAAAATCTCACTATCTCACAGTATACATGGATAAGAGCTTATTATACTAAGCTATGAGGTACATTTCAATCTAATACTTCGCGTACAATAGTAATTCACGGCACTCACCTTCTACGTTAGGCTAAAACAAGGGTTTATCTCCAAAAATTGCCGCCAAAATTCCATGTAGGCGGCATCCATGTTGTCGTAAAATAGCACGGGCAACCCGAATGTTGGCACTTAAATTTTTAGGAAAACATAAATGATATTATACCATTTTGTAAAATCCATTTATCCTTATTAAATAGTTTGTACAAATTGTGTTGGATTATAAGAAAAATTCCGTTCTGATATTTTGTTTGCAGACGACGTGACGTGACCCCTGACCTGGTCTTCTGCTCAAAAAAGGACAAAATGGCGGAGGCGGCGGCACCGAAGTCGCAGCTCGACTACGAGCAAACTTTGGTAAGTCACTTTTAAAGCCTTCTTAAGACTCAAGTACGGAGCACGACCACCTTTACAATATCTTTAACCAACAGGGAAAGTTTCAGCCGAAAAGGACGCTCTTTGGAGCAACGCAGACGCCTCAAAATCAGGCAGTCAAAAATACGCGGCATTTTAGGAACACTGGTTATCGATCGAAGTGTGTGACTGTGAGGGAGGCGTACTCTACTCGTAAAGCTTACTCCGGTTTTCATATAGGCTTTTACAGTACAGAGACGCGGGAAGGGAAGAATTTATCGTGGGAAAGAATATGTTCTTATTGGTCTCAGCATTATGTGGCGATAAAACTGTACTTTCGAGTAAGAGATGGAAAACGACGTTTTGGTTCACAAATTATTTTCATTCACTTTTATAGTTGAGGCGGAACCGGATTTTACTAGCAAGCTGTACGGGATGATAGTAATTGTTTACATGCCAACTCAAGTGTCCCTGAACAAGGATGTTCTTAGAAAAGACTTGTTCTTTGGCAGTAGCACAAAATCGAGACAAAAATGTGGTAAAACTTTCACCAACGCAAGATTCAAGAACCAAGTGTTTCACCAACATCATAATTTTCTCAACAGATGTCAAGATCACAATGTCAAACGCTATGTTTCCATTTGTTTTTTACTATACATATTCTTCAGGTATGATAAAAACTATGTAGAATAGATATCTTTGTGTCACGGTGGCGTAGAGAAGACACGGAGACTCAGAGATGTCGTCCTGTCGTTTCTTTAATCTTTTCAAGTCTGATCTCCCCCAACGTTACCTTTCTAGAACCCCTTCCTTCGAACAGGTGTCGTTGCTACCTGTTCGAACACCTGCTCAACACCGCGTGCGCACGTGGTGATCACGTGCGCAAGGTGTGTTCGAACAGGCAGCGAACCCCCGCCCGAAGGAAGGGTTCTAACTATAGCTACTACAATGTATAAGGTAAAGTACAAGTGCTTAAGTTAATGTATAACTGTCACTTCGTGACATCTCCCCCGGCTTTTTTTTTACATAACGTCCCCGTTATCTGGTTATCGATTATGTATATACATTTCTATGCCATGCAATTTCTCTTCAAATAAAGTCTCTGCTTCTCTTCAAATAAAGTCTCGTGCTTCTCTTCAAATAAAGTCTCTGCTTCTCCCGGCTCTGCTTCTCCCGGCTCTGCTTCTCCCGGCCCGGTTGCCATGTCCGTCCTCCCCCACCCTCTCGGTGGTTGGCTCGCGCACTCCCGCAGGACCGCACGGAACAGGAACATCTGAAGGAGCCTGCTCCAGCGGGACACACCTCTGGGGGGTGGTGGGTTAGGGCAACACGTACAACCATTGACAACCGCACATGTCTTCTATAATTTCTCTGTCTCTCTGTCTCTCTCTCTGCATAACGGCAACTTTCAAACTCCAGAACTTCATTAATTATATATTAAGGAACTTCAATTTAGTTGAACAATAACTTATTTTGTATAACTTATTTACGTTAATTTAATACGCCTGACCCAAGGGAAGCTTCAGCTCCTCCCCCACAGGCTTGAGTCTGAGTCCAGTCTCATCTTCACTGTCCGAATACTCCTCATATTCTGACGACTCTTCCTCAGATTCTTCTTCTTCCTCTTCTTTTGCCTCTTCTACAAGTTCCATCACCTCCTCTTCGGCCTGTGCCCTTTCCCGCGCCCGCAGCCTCATCAGCATACGGCGGCGCTCGATCTCCTCCTCGTCTAAATCCTCCTCTCCGCTGCTCTCCTCTTCCCGTGCCAGCCGCTCCGGTTCATCGTCTCCCTCTGCCTCCTCCTGAACCTCTGGGTCCAGAACTCTCTGGTGTCGGGCAACCCTGTCCAACTCTTCATCGCTGCTCTCGTCTTCCGCGGTGCGTGCTTTGAGCAGACGTCGGAGACGGGGGTCGTCGACCTCAGCCATGTCTGCGGCCGTGGAACTTGAAGCGGACGGTTGGATGATGACCTCGGGTTGGCGCTTCAGGCGGAAGTCATCATCTTCCTCTTCTTCATCGCTGGACGTGGAGTGTAGTCAGGTCTATATCCTGGACTACCCCAGCCGTACTACCAAATGTCACGGTGGCGTAGAGAAGACACGGAGACTCAGAGATGTCGTCCTGTCGTTTCTTTAATCTTTTCAAGTCTGATCTCCCCCAACGTTACCTTTCTAGAACCCCTTCCTTCGAACAGGTGTCGTTGCTACCTGTTCGAACACCTGCTCAACACCGCGTGCGCACGTGGTGATCACGTGCGCAAGGTGTGTTCGAACAGGCAGCGAACCCCCGCCCGAAGGAAGGGTTCTAACTATAGCTACTACAATGTATAAGGTAAAGTACAAGTGCTTAAGTTAATGTATAACTGTCACTTCGTGACATTTGCACACAATTTTTTTATGTGGCCAAAAGAGACCAAAAGGATGCCTGCATTTTTCATCCTTGTATATAATTTGTAACTCACACTGAAATAAATGTCAGGGCCATAGTTACGTTCTTGGGCTGGACGCCAGAGTTCCAAAAAGGACAGACAATCAACCTAGGATGTAGCCTTTAATTTATCACTGTACATACAGACGTATTCTCTCTTGGGACATTTTCATGATCAGGTTTGGCATATGCCTAGCCTTATGAACAGACTGCCATGGCACCCTGTATCTCTACAGTGCTAAGAGTGTGCTACCCTGGATGCCAAACTAGTATCGGGCCGTTAGCCGTTTTCCTTCGGCAGCCAAGAGCCCTTCGCCCGCCTATCTAAATTACCGCTACGCTGTAACGGGGGAGTTGAGCTCGAGGGGTTTGTCTGGCCCTAAAAGGGCCAACCAAACTCCCCCTGGGCTAGTCTCCCCGCGGTAATTTAGACCCGCGGGCAAAGGGCTCTTGGCTACCAAAGGAAATTGCTAGCAGACCAAAATGAGTTTGGCATCCAGGGTATAGAGTGTGCAAGCCTACCCAGCCTACCACCCAGTACACGCTCATGGGTCTCAATTATGTCTACAAAGGATGGCAGTAATTAGGAAAGCTAATCATGACAGTCCGATATATCGACTGCCAGAGGAAAGGCCTTGCCAACAAACTGGCCGGGCCAAAACTCTCTAAAGCAGGGGTGTTACCGGTACTGTTAGGATACTACACCAGACGACATTACAATGCTATAATTACATGTATAAAGAAAATATAATGAAAAGTCACCAGCAGGCTGATTTGAATATGTCATGAATAAACAAAAATGCAAACAAACAAAATACAGATTGTATCTACTATATAGACAGTATATTATGATGTGGGTCTTTTTGTTTGTTATAACCTTGTATAATATATACAACTTGTAACAACTTTAAACAAGGATATTATATATGGATCAGGATACAATGTCCTTGCTTTAAACAAGTCCAAAATGTTTGTGACTATTAACCTCCTGGTGCAATGTTTTCTTTATAAGTTACATGTACATTTGTACATGTACTTCTAAATTCACACCTTCACAGGATCTTAAAAAATGCTATTATTAAGTGACCGTTATCAAATCAAGAATTACAGTACATACTTTCTACAATCATGGTATTGCTGTTGTGACTATTTCTGCTATAACAGTATAAGTATAAGCCATATACATGTGCATGGCATACTACATATGTAAGTCTTCTCAACATCCGAGCGATGCTTCATATGAATCATAAACTGTATTTATAGATTCTGAAGGGAACATTCCTTTCACAGTAAGCCCAGTAGTACAGTCCACTTCAGATAAAATGACCTGGAAATTCAGTTCAAAATCTGTGCCAGAATAACACTTTGATATATATTTAGTAACAGTTATATAAGTAGTATCTGACCCTAAGACCAGCACAATTCTTATCTTGTACGTATACTATTCTGAGCTGACTTGACCTCCTGTTAACCTGAGTTGTTGCCCCTGAATGTGGAGTATGTTTCTGAAATAGATAACTGACACAGAAACATATCACGCATAAACAAGGCATAGCATATGGTCTATGGGTCTACATGTATGTCTCAACCAAACTTGGTCTAAAACACTCTACACTCACTGAATACTAGTAATCAGATTCAGGATGTAGATGTAGGAAAACTATTGTATGGAAACAAATAACTGTGACATGGTTGACATAATTTTCTCTTGCTCAGTCAACGATGAATGTAACCTTCAGGCCAAACGTCACATTGAATTTAATCAAGTATTCTGAAGTTACTTAGTTCAATGATCAATGTTTTGCAGAACAAGTTGCTCATGTATCAAAAGCTGTTTTGTCAACTTGTAAATTTACTTACAATGTGAATGGGGACTCTGAAATTTGATATCTGTATTTTAGAAAAGAGCAAATCCCCACGTACTCTGTATGCATTTGAATTGAACGACATTTTATGTTACAAAGAAAACAACAGATATTTATGATATAGTAAACAATAGTGCCTTAGCGCATAATAACAGGATTGTCTATACAGTAAAAAAACTGTACTGTGTGTGGAACTATACACGTATATTCTAAGGGCCTCATCAAATATTCAAAACTGGTATTGGAAGACATTTCAATACAGTAGAATTGCCTTTCAGCCCAAAAGGTTTTCATTTTAAGAAGTACTATGAGCTTGAAGTTAAGATTAATCTTTCCCTTCTGCCTTCAGTGTCTTCCCGCAATCTATCTATTGTCTCTACCCAGGCCTGAAGGGTTAGAGGGTCACAGGTTTCTGTAATAAGGAAAGGTGATTTATAGAACGGACAAAAATCAATGATGCCTGAGACCAGAACAGTGTCTGTGAAATTGGAAAACTTTGTAACGTTAGCTGTAGGCAGCTAGGCACAGTGATACAGCTTGGCAAAATGTAACCAACTGTTTAAAAATCCAATAAAACAGAGACTATTATATATGGTATTACTAATTTGATATTAGACTGGTAACCTACAGTTTCAGAATCTTAGACTTAACTTATCAGATACACATGTAGTAAGATCTTTATGTCAGCAATTGCAAACTGATGGTGCTACCTTTTTAGGATGATTAAGTAAATGGTTAAGCCCCATTCAAATTAAATTCAAAACATGGTTACGTAATTTTTGTCTAGACAGTCACTTAGAATTAGATGTGACCTACATGTATATAAGTGCAAACTTACAATGTACATGTAAATCTAACGCTAAACAGCAAAGACCAACAAAGCTATGTCTGAAGATCTATGGAGGATAGCTTCAACAGACATTCACTATGCAGAAGTAAAGAATTTCATAGTTCTATAGGGAGATACAATGTTGAAAATATATACGTAGTAAAACTCCATCCCAATAGGCAATACCTCACAGTCACAAGGAGTTTTTGGTCTGGCTTTTCAAACCTAGCCAACGGTTACGTGAAGTTTGTTTTACATCAAAAAGATTTTTTCATACCTTATGGTCACTTCAAAATGTATTTCATTTTCCTTTTCTGCCCTTTTGTTTGTTACTTCATTTTCATGTGTCGAAACCTTATGGTTACATCAAATATAAGTTCTATGAATGATTGCCTTTTTATTTTCCTGGTGTATTGATACAGCACATGTACTTCCCTCTCTACAGATGTATGGCAAATACACCAAAGAGCTTGGTGACTATGCACGGGTGGAAGCGGAGAAACTGCGGGCCCAGCGAGAGAGGAGGCGAGAAAAGGAGCGCAGGGCGGCCTTCATGAAATACAAGGAAGAGTCGCGGTGGCAGAGATGCAAATGTGAGTTCTAATATATTTCGCATGTGTTAATTACACAATTTCATCAACCAATTTAGTATTGAAATTGTCTCAATAAAATATGAAAAATGTACATATAGTTAAGGTACACATTTTAAATGAGAAGATAAGGTTACAGTTCATCCTCATAGATTTGTATATGTATGAAATTTCTTCACAGAATACACTATATGTAAGTATATAATTCTTAGTTGAACATTGAAATGATAAAAAAATTTTACGACCAGAAACATGCTTTTAACAGAACTGTCTTTACCGATACAGTGATTTTAATAGATTTTAAAGAATGATGGCTGCCGTGTCATGGGTTCCTACTCATGAGAATAAAAAGATCAATATCTGCACCTGCCAACATTGACAGATGAAGCAGGTTTAGTAAGAACTTATCCTCATAATCGGATGTCACTGCTGGATTTTCATAGATGTGGAGAGATACATGCTATTATGAATCTTAAAATTTAGTGATGAACAAAAGAGAGTTACGGAGACAACTAGTCGTAGAAAGAATCCAAGTGAGCTTAACGGAGTAAGTGGGTAAGTAGAATTGAGTGTCTACTGCCTCACCATGAAAAGACCCAGGGCTCGAAATTATCATTATTGTAATTTAGTAACCCTCTTGTGATATGTATGCAAAGAAGTTTTTTTGACAATTCTAGGTCGCAGGAAAATGAAAATGACAGCCACCTCTAATTTGGCAGGCTGAAAGAACACAGGCTCAGTATCAATCACATGAAAGAGAAATTAAGTATTTCTAACCCAGCCTGGTTCTAATCAATGTCAGTAAATGATGTCCTCTACATAAGAAACCAATATATAATAATGAATCAGCCCTTTCCATGCTACAAACATAGCCCCCTTATGTCAGTATCATTTATAACAGCCTTTGATTCAGGGATTGCTGCTTTGAAGTTTTAACACAGATTTAAATTGATAGATTATTATGGCCTAGGTTTCGATCGCTATATTTTTGTAAAGTTGTTCAAAAATTTATGTATATTGACGCCCAACATACTAGTCAGTATGAAATATTGATATAACTGCAATATTATGCTGTCAGTGACATCTTGGTTATCGCAAACATAAAACAGAAGGTGGAATGACATAATGCTGAAACAATGTAGCCATGGTACTGTGATTAAGGCCATCTCAGTTTCTTTCTTTGTTTCTTGGACGAGAAAAGCAGACATGACAAAAACAGAGGAAAAGTTCAATATTCACTTTCTGAAACTGTGTCAACCACACTTTATTTTTCAGTTCAGCTTTTAAAGTTTTTTAAAAGCCGAGAAGCACCCAATTCGATTGGTGAGAGCTTTGATTGATTGATACATTATTGAGAATTTTTGCATCATCATCATCTATCCCTTAGTCAAATTATTTGACAGATGATTTGACAGGCACTTCTTTTTCTGTTCCTTTTAACACTTCACTTCAGTTTAGAAGAATCAATCAGAAGAAACATAAGACAGTAGCTGCATTGACATACTGTACCTGAATGACACAACCCATCAGTGCAGGGTGCTCAGTAAGATTGATACGATTAAATGTGACCTGGGGCACCAATCACATGACAACATTAACCCTATGGCCCTGGTATCAGTTAGTTGAGAATCTAATGTTCTGGAAATACGATACTGCTAATTGGGTCTATTTTTACACCATCTAATTTTGTTCACCTTTTGTTTTTCTGAAATGTCAGGCTGCAGAGGAAATGAAGTTTCTAAATGGCTTTTAGATTTTGTCCTGGAACATGCAGGCAAGCTAATCAATGTTTTAATGGAACTGAAAACTCTGTCAAAGTTCGAACAAACTCTTGTAAAAGTTTATTCCAAAAACATCATCATTTCGTAGTGCAATGATGCTAATTACCTGAATTTTTGAAAGAATTCAGTACCAAGGACAGCTATCATGTCAGTTGGTTGTTGTCTCTATGTGTGGAAGTTTTGTTTTTGGTAAATGTGTTACTCATCTAATACTATGCTATGTTCAGTAGTTGTTTCCATACATTGTATTCATGTACGAATGTCGTGCAATAAAGTTCTTCTAATAAAGACAGTGATTCAGCACCAAGGACAGATACTGTTCAGATCTCTACTCTTCATCAAATTTTGTGCACTTTGGAGTTAAAACCCATGGATAATAAATTATATTCCTGACTACAGCCTGCTCCTAGCTATTTGAAACATTGTATTGAAGAGACCTGACCCATTCAGACATTTGGCAGTTGACAAATACTGCTGCAGCTAGCCCCATGTCTTAAGCTAATCAAACACATTTCTTAAACAAACTTGGTCAAATAAAATAAGTTTCTCCGCATCATTTATAATCTATATAATTGTACATCACTCATTACCAGTGTAATTTTCATATTGAGAGCCCTTTGTAGTATTCTTTACCACAATTTCATGTTAATGCTCTTTGTTATAGCTTCTTGCAAATATTACTGTACAGTAACGTTGTGTAATTTGATACATTCAGGGTGACCCCAAATGTGAGACATGTACAGGTTCCCTAATGACACACAGCCCTATATAATGAAAGACATTTGATAATGCATTCTGTAATTTGACCTGCCATTTTGGCTCATTCACACTCCCATTTTCCAATCACTGGCCCACTTTTTTTCACCATTATACATCCGTCAGTACAAAAAGCAATTTAGACCTCAGCAACAACCAAGCTTATTGAGAAGACAATGGGCCTAACATTATTCAACAGCAGAAACATATTTAAGGATTCTTTGACAAGTTTGAACTTTTGAGTTTACCGTTACATATTCATAAGCTAAGTGTTATTATTTACGTAATCTATAGCCAGCTGCCACTCTCACCTTCGAAGCTTAAAGTTTTATGCCTGACCAGTTGAATACTAGAAGTAATATATGCAGACTACAGGTACAGACTATGTGCTGTATCTGGGACATTTAGATTTCAATCCTGAGCTGCCATCCTTGCCTGCAAAGCTGGTGTGTTACGCCAAAGAGTATTAAGTTTTATGTCTGACAAGTTGCACAATGGAGATTCAGATACAGATACAGACTATCCAATCAATACAGCAAATTTATAGCCTTCATTACTGTAGTAACACTTAAGGCAGCGTGCCATTCATGAAACTTTAGAAAAGACATGTTGATAAAACCTGTGTTGATGTCATGGTGCATTTGATAAGAGAGATCGATAAAACCCAATGGTCTGTGAGAGTGGGCATGGTTGTTTGAGTCAGAACAAATAAACGTGCTCACACCAGAAGGTTAATAGTGAAAGGAAAAATCACCTTCTAGAAATGGCTTTTGGTTTTAAACCCCTTGAATAATCAATTGTCTGTTATGCCAGTCCAAACAAAGGTTCTTACACCACTAGGCTGATAGTAGTAAACAAAAGAAGATACAAAATGTCTCTCCTTCAAAAATGGCTTTTGGTTTACTATTAGAGTAGAGTAGAGTAGATCTTTCGTCTCGGTAGGAAGTTCTCTTCCACTTTGAGCCGCTCCTTGTAGTTTACTGCGTAGACATGGTTATCTTGTGGGGGTTGTCCAATGCCCGGGGGTTGTACACCACTGGATGACTTCTCATGTGTTTGTCCAGTCTATTTTTAAAACTGTTACACTACTGAAGTCCATTGCTAACATGTATCATTATTAATGTCATACAAAAACATATTATACCCTTTGAATTAAATCATATTTTCTAATGTTCAAAATTGCTGTCTGTTATGGCAAATATAGCATGTCATCATTTCCCTGTAGCTGTAATTTTCCTTCAATTGATATCGATTCATTCTTACATCAGTGGAACCAACAGTAGACTGGAAAAGGTCAGCTTGTTCTGGTCCACGGGAGTCACAGATATTTTAGGATTTTAATCCAGGAAAAGCTCAGAAGATTTCTGGACGATACAGCTTGAATGTAAGCATCACCACACGGCTGTAACTGACTACCGGCATGTACAGTTGAAGGTGTGAAATTCTGCAGTCTGGCTACAGCTACATTCGAAGTTACCCAGCCATCCTGAACATGCCTTGATCTGGACCCCCATTCTGCTACCAGTTGGCTCAAAGCCATATGGTATTATTATAAGCTTAGTATATCAGACTGCTCTGCCAGGGCTGGTCTAGAAAACAAGACTACCACAAATATGATCATGGACAGTGTCTTGAATTTGGGTATTCTAAATAATGGAGTTTTTGTAAATGTCTCTGTTTGTTTGTTTCACACAACTGTAAACAGCCTTTAGGCGCAACACACCAGTTTTGTACAATGTACATTATCAGTACAAGCTGCGTAAGACTGAACTGTAAGGTTTGAACCACTTACACCGGGACCTCTTGGGTCTGATCGAGCCGAACACTTAGTACCAAAACACTCTGTGTCCTATGCATAACTGGTTACTAAGAGATCCTGCTGCTTCGCCATATGAATCAAATTCCATGCATCAACGGGAAAGCCAGCAGCCCAATATATTAGGGATCTGTAGGCTTAGTTACGGCATCAAACTGCTACACATAAAAGAACCCAAAACTTTGTCAAGAAGAAGAGTAAGGTTGATGGCACAAGACATGATATTGCAAAGCTGCAATAAGCTTGCTTATAACTTAAATAATATAAGCATCATGCTTCAGCTCCAGACAACAAAAGAAGATGGGTTGCTGAACTTCAGTTTTTCAATTCATAACACATCATTCTGAATATTTTAGTTTTCAGTGGAACAATCCTTAGGCAAGCATACCTATATATAGGCTGATCCTTGTATTAGATGATATGCACAATAGCTAGAGGATAGAACAATTTGCAAACTTTTGGGGAGGTATGTCAATGTATGCCATACAGACGAATGTTTCAGCCACCGGCTGGGATCAATAGAGCTTAATGCACAGCTTTGTATCGGCTCTGGGGCCTCTGTTCGTAATTACTTTTTTGGTGATTGTGTGTTTGTGGAGCCCCAGGAGAGAAGAGTTAATCAGGCACGGTACATGAAATGCATGGCTGGGTTCAAAGTCACGTCCCTGGTGAATCATCTTTCACATACAGAGCAACGATTACTTGTTTCTTAGTGACTTACACAACAGATAGACCTAGACAAAGGTCACAGTAGACTGAGGTGGTCACTATACTAGTCTTAAGACATGAATCTTATTACTCGGGTTGATGGAGGGGAAAATAGTCTACCTGTAACTCAAAGCCCCCTTCACACACGGGGCTGGAAATACTAGGTGTATGTGCACCTTAGTGCACCCAAAATTGGAGCTGTGCACCCAATTTTTTTCTGTGGGTTTACATGTGTAAAGATGTTAATTGTATAGTAGTATACAGCATAGTCTTAATATCTACATGTACATGTATGAGACTGACTGACAGAGAGAGAGATATGTATGTGTCAGAAAAGTAATGAAATTATTGTTGTAGTACTTTCCTTTAGAAATGAAACACATATAGTTTTTGCTGACATTCTTCTTATTACATGGTGCACCCAAAAAAATTTTGTGCACCCAATTTTTTAGGTTGAATGCACCTTTTCCCAAAAATGAATTTCGAGCCCTGACAAGAACGGCGGAATCAGCTAGAATAAGAAATCTGATTTTATTCCTGACTATACTAAGCGTACATGTACATGTATATTGAATTTCCAGACTATAATCGAATTGTATTCTGCTTAACTGAACTGAATTCTGCTTAAAAGACAGTTAGAAGTTTTAAACTATGATTCAATTTGATTCATGGATTGACTTGAAATTTAGGATTTATAAATGGGAAACCACCCTAACACATCAATAGCATCCTGATCAGAGTCTACCCACAGAAAAAAAATTAGGTGCACATCTCCAAATTTGGGTGCACTAAGGTGCACATGTACCCAGTATTTCGAGTCCGGCTCCTTCCCTCTGGAGATAAATTTCTATGCATTTGGGAAATCAATAAGATGTCTTGATTTTATATTGACTTGTTATAATCAGTCAATAAAAGGTCAGGAGCAAGTAGACCTGGTAGCAATAGATTCATGATTGGGATTCACAAGGGATGTCTATAAAGTTGATCAATAATGTAATATTAAGGTATTTTCCACTGAATTTTTGTGTCAAAATTTATGTTGTAGGACATTGAAATTGAAATTATAATGGCTTGGGGACCACTTGTCCAAACCAAATCTATTGTGTGATAACCTAGCCTGGGTACCATCCTACTTGTATGCCGGGGCTCCCACACTTGCTTCCCTAACAAGTACTTGTTAGGGAAGCGAGTGTGGGAGCCCCAGCATACAAGTAGGATGGTACCCAGGCTAGTGATAACCCAGTTAGTGACAACAAATCATCTGTACAGTTGGTTCCTCCAATTCCCAGAAGGTTTTGACAAGTATGAGTAAAATGTGTTGAATAACATTTGCATCCGTTACTAACATACAAGTTCATGTTTCAAAATTATATCAAAAGTTGCTGTAACAGTTATTAAATTGTCATCAGACACTTATAACTTATATATAGTTAATTCAGAATCGACAGTACTGTACGTAAAATGTTGGTGTTTTGAACAGTTTCTCTTCAGATTTTACTGCATTCATCTCTCTTCTCTCTCTCTTTTTCCAGTTTTCAGCTAACCTCCATTGTAAGTTTAACCCTCATAACTTCTCTCATTCTCTCTCTCCTGTTGTCTATCCTATGGACAGTGTTAAGAAGAATGTGGGAGACTCTACCTGAGGTGCAAGGTACAAACAACAAACTCAGGGCTTGAAATACTTTTTTCTGCAAACCTGCACTGGTGCAGGTAATATGGAAAATTACCTGACAAATTTTTCCTGAATCACGCAGGATTTAGGAATTATGGATCACATTAAAAATGGTATATGGACTGGGGCAGGTTAGGTGCAGGTACACATCAGACTCAGAAATATCTGCACAGCTCCAATTTTACCTCCAGTAACCTGCATAATTTTCATGCAGGTGGTATTTCAAGCCCTGAAACTACATGTAGTACTGCACCCCCTCTCTATACTACATGCCTGCTAATAATACTCATATACAAAGTAGTATTTGTAGTAGAAGTCCTAAACTCACCGCTACAAATTCTGGTAGCATGCCTGTATGTACCGTAGCAATGCAGTGTGCATTGTATATCTGAAGGCACATCATTTTTCTAGCATATTGGCTATTGTAAATCGTGCAATGTTCACAGTGGTTTTATTTTTGCAATTTTGTGTTGTCCTCTTAACGAAAAATCATGACGCTGCAAATGCACCAATGTATTTGTTTTGGATTTCAGAATTGTTTCAACTCCAAACACTGCGAAAGCCTCCCATACTGCAAAATAGAAAATGTAAAACCACTGTGAAAATAAAGGCATTTACAGTAGAGTATAGAAAGATTTTTCTATAACTGAGACGCAATGTACAATAGCAACAATAGCAGCTTAGAAAAGGCATTGTCAGGCACATCTTTGAACTTGTGTCTAGGTGACATTTCTTTTTCGTCGTGTCCTCAATTGTCGTCATCGAATCTATAAAAATGTCACGGTTATAAATACACCCCTACACCTCATTAAATATCCATTCTTCACGTTTCTAGTTAATTAATCAGTCTACAATATACAGCGTACAATGTACATTGTTCAATGCAAAGATTTTATTCTATTATGTTGACTTTGAGTGGAGGTACATGTAGGTTGCAGTATGGCTTGCATGTCCTGTACTTGTAGTCAGGGACAAGGTAATGTACAACTGCTTGATTCGTGTAGCTTTGCACCTGCAGGTGTAGAGTACATGCACATGTAAATAGCACCTTATAGTTTTTACATATTATTTAGAAAAATTAATATGGAGCTGGTAAGTATTTTGAATTTTATTTCAATTTTACGAAAAATGACTTAGCCTTCATAATTTTAGTCAGAACCAAATCAGTAGTAGTGGTCTTGTTTTCTAAAAGAGAGCTAGGTATACTTGTCATGTTGCACCTTTGAGTCCTGTTGATACCAAGTCAATATTGTTTGACTGTAATGATGTAAAATTGTATAACTGCAGTACATGTAGTAAATATGGAAAACACCATTAATTTTGCAATACATACATTTGTAAGTCTGTTCTTGCTATAGACAAGCTACATATAGAAATACTTACATGCACAGCACTTGCAATTTGAAATTCAGTTTTGCGAAATCAGAAATATGGTAATTTTGACTAAAAGTTTAAGTGCAGTCTCTGAAATCAGATAAAAAAGAAGAAACTAACGGTGTTTTCTGCCCCCCCTCCCCCAGCGTACATGATCTGGTGCAGAAATGTTGTGTTTGCCAAGATCGGAGAAGACTGGATCTTCCTGCTGCTCCTGGGTGTGTCCATGGCTCTTCTCAGCTTCGCTATGGACTTCACCATCGCAAAGTGCCAGAAAGGTAACGTCCAAACTTTCTTGTCCTGAACAAGGTTCTGGGTTCAAATCCCCGGCAGGCCCTAATGTTGTTCCTTTGGGAAAGATACTTTGCAGCTATTTCCTCACTCGACTCGGGTGAAAATGAGTACCTAGCTTTGGTTAGTCTCTTCTTCCACCACCAAGTCATGTAATGTAAAGTGCTTTTCTAAGGACACAACATCTTGCCAAGAATGCCAGGAATTGAACCTGTGACTTCTCAGTCCGCTGCCTGCTAGTCTTACTACTCGAACATTCAATGCCACCCTTACATCGTACGTGTTTGCCAGTAAAAGATGTTGTGTGTCTGTTTGTTGCAGCTCACTACTGGTTGTACATGGAGCTGTCCCAGTACCCCCTGCTCCAGTACCTGGCCTGGGTCATGTTTCCTGTCATCTTCATCTCCTTCTCAGCAGGGTTCACACATATTGTCTCAGCTAATGCTATAGGTAAGTTGTTGGTGTCAGCAATACTAGAAACATCACCTGCATATGCAGGATAGCACAGAATTGCAGCTGTGCAAGTATTTCTGATGTCTACCTGCACCTGACCTGCACTGGTCATGTATTGGCTTTATATACATGTAGATTTATGTGGATTTTCGTTAGCTGTATTGAATGTGTCCACATATGAAATGTAAAGAAGAAAGAATGGCCATAATATTTTCAGAACAGTTTTTAGTGTTACAGGTAGCATGTGGTACAGGTAGCATTTGTCTGGTGCAGGTAATTTTTATCCTTTACCTGCACTACAGTGCCTGAGGATGCCACCTGTCCAAGAAGACCACTGTATCTCAGTCCCCCTGAGTGGCCTTGTGCAGGTTTGACTGTAGTATATGCTTGCCAAACATTGCTGTAACATGTTGACCCTGTCGCCCCCCTCCCACCCCAGGTTCAGGTATCCCTGAGATGAAGACCATCCTGCGGGGAGTGGTGCTGAAGGAGTACCTGTCCTTCAGAACTCTCGTCGCCAAAATCGTCGGACTCATCACAGCCTTGGGAAGCGGGCTTCCCCTCGGCAAGGAGGTGGGTTGGGCACCGCTTCATTCCTTTAAGCCCCTGCTCATATTTGAATTTTCATTATTGTAGTCATAATCATGACATTGTATTTACTAAGATGTCGGCAGAACATACTGCGTCTGCACAAAAGCCATAATGTATTGTGTGTAGCACTTCAGTAGAACATCTGGTTTAAGGTTGCATTCACATTAAAGATCACATTTTGTGGCGGAAAAGATATCGTCTACAACAGGCAAAGTTCTGATGCAATGTTGACCAAAAATCCGACGAGAACCATGAAAAATGTGGGTTTCACTCAGGCACAGTGCATTCTGCCAACCTGCTTGGGTTTAGCACCTCTTCATCCCTTAACTCAACACTCAATTAAATATTCATTAACACATTGGTGTGCTACAGTAGGCATCTCTTGTCAAGGCTCAATCAGTCGTAACTAAAGCTTGTAGCAGTGTATGCTAGCAGTATTTCTTCTTTCCTAAACGCACTTTCTTGCTTCCAAGCAATGTTCCAATTTCAATAAATAAATAAATAAATAAGCAATGTTGCAATAAATCAACTTACTGCAACAGTACTACTACATTGTATTGTTAATGCTTATTAACAATAGAATTAAACTGTGTATTGAAATATATGTAGCCAATACTTGAAATACAGGAACACAGTATTTTAAGTTATTTTAACAGTGTTGTTTGTATTGCAGGGTCCGTTTGTACACATTGCCAGTATGGTTGCCCAACTTCTCAGTAAACTTGTCACCTCTTTCAGAGGTATCTATGAGGTGAGTAAGTAACTGCCTTTCTCAAAGACAAAGTGCAGGCTATAAAAGTTTGTTTTATTCTTATTTTGGGCAGGTTTGCAAAATGTGTGGTGTTTTTATAAATTGTATATTTTTTATCAAGCTGACAATATCTTTTTAAAACTCTGTTTTAGTTTTGCACAGTGGTAACTACAACATGTAAGTACAATCCCACTCTAACATTGTATTCTAACATTGTATGACCTCCTGTGTTACAGAATGAGTCCAGAAACAGTGAGATGTTAGCTGCTGCCTGTGCTGTGGGAGTGTCCTGTAACTTCGCAGCACCAATCGGAGGTACGGACAGTCATGATAATTAAGTACATGTATAAATAAATGAGCACAAATTTTTCAGCAAAATACAAGTATGTCTCTCTCTGTCAGTCTCTACGTAAAATGGGATGGTACAGCTTCTTAACAAATGTTACAGTTCAGTGTTCTAGGCAGCGTCCTTTGACAGAATTTTTCCACTCACTCTTCCCAAACTGTCATCTTTAACAGACAAAAAGTCGATGTGTTAAAATAATGTCTTTTTCCCTGTCCATTTCCAGGCGTGTTGTTCAGTATAGAGGTAACATCCACGTACTTTGCGGTGAGGAACTACTGGCGTGGGTTCTTCAGTGCAGTTTGCGGTGCCTTCATCTTCAGACTACTGGCTGTGTGGAACAGGGAGGAAGGTATAAATTCAAAGTGTTTCTTCAAACGTGCATGCTATGGTACTGTATCTAAGTACATGAGGCTTTTGGGACACTGTCTTTCTTTACAAAACTCAACCGCAAGCATCAGGGCAGCATGGTGGCTGCAGACATGTCCCTAGGCCTCCAGGATGTCCAGCCGTTTACAAAACTGTCTGTCACAATTTTGACTGATTGTGATTGTCACATGACCAGACCAACCTGTACAACATGGGGACTTAAGGTTGTTGCGACCCCATCTAACAATTGTTTTCTTTTTTATTCCTGCTTGCTACAGAAACCATCACAGCCTTGTTCAAGACCCAGTTCAGAGTAGACTACCCCTTTGATGTACAGGAGCTGTTGGCTTTTGCAGTCATAGGGTAGGTAGAGCTGAGGAATCTAGCATCCTTCTATTCTTAAAAACTTACTTTTAGTGTAATTTGCAACCTCTTGCAATGTCTTAGGATGGTTCCTTTTTGTAGCGTTTTATGGATATTATGGATATCATCATCATCTGGTCGTGAGAGTTTCACGGATGCTGGATTTATGGATAGAATGATACGTACATGTCCAGTACTTGCTAAGAGTAATAAGAAAAGGTAAACATAAGGTAGTCCCATAGCCTTTTTCAGGCTACAGGGACAGGGTGATGTTATGATGTGTCTATAGGACACAATACATTATTTTGTACAGTCACAGAACTATTTTATCAATGCTATGACATTGGACTAACTGTGTTTCTTCCCCCAGGATTGTGTGTGGGTTTGGAGGTGCCCTGTTTGTGTACTTCCACAGACAAGTTGTGTACTTCAACAGGAAGCACAGGAGACTGACTTACTTTCTACAGAAAAAGTAAGGCTAAAACAGTCCCTTTTGTTATGATTATCACACAGATTTTGACATTGTGCGAATAACAGTAAATTGGTTTCTGTCAGACCAAAGCCTTTGGCAAAGGAAAGGTAGAAAATTATTGATAGATCTTAAATATGAATATGTTATACCTGTTAGATCTCTACCAGAGTGTACATTTTGCTCAAGCATGATAATCTTGAAGCTAACATTTCATAACTGATTGCGTGGCTTCTTTCAGTCAATATTGACTGTCACAGTGGTAAAAATTTTTACTAATTGATAACAGCCCTACAGCTCTGGCTATGGCTGTACAGTCCTATACAAGAATGACAGTCTCTATATCACATACATGTAACTACTACACACATACATGTACATTTACTCAGACTCAACAATTTTTACTCTCTTCTTGCCAACATTTTTTTACATTTATTCTTTTGGTTTAACTTTATTCCTAATATTTCATCCTAAGGTTTGCTTTATTATAATTTTTCTGTAACGAGTTGACTGTAACATTGCATGAATACACTGTTTAAACACAAACAAACTGAGATTCACACAGTCTGTCTACATTCAACTTTCTTCCACTTCTTGCATGCCTGGTGTTTGAACAGGGCCAGGTAAGACAACATCTTACATACATACATGTGCTCTTTCTTAGCCTCTAGCAGGCTTCAGAAGCAGCTGGAAAGAGTAAAAATTAGCCAAGCCAGGCGAGTTGATCTTCTAAAGGAGTACATTTGCTGCAAACTGTACCCCTTTAGCAGACCAATTCTCCTGACATGTTATCTGTGTCTATTTGCCCAGTTTCTACTCTTTCCAGCCGCTCCTGAAGCCTGGTAGAGGCTAACTCTCTCTATTGAAACTGTCTGGAAGCTAACATCTCTTCCTGTTATACTGCTCCAATATTACTAATTTTCACATAAAAATGATGAAAACTTATTATCACAAAAAAATAGTTTATGATTAGTGTATTCCACATGATTTGAGTTTTCCACCATGGCACAACTGTTAGAATTACTTATCTCGTGCTCTGGTAAGACATTGCAAAATGTAGAAAATTTTCTAATACTTCATAGAAATCTGGAATTTTTCTTGGTCCTCACATGAAGTGTGCATTATTTAGAACAATGAGGTTTCAAAATTTGTTCATCAACGTTAGAAACTATTGTAAAAAGAATTTCCAGCTGAAAATGATACCCGCATTCGATATTGACTGTAACTTTTAAATCTTTCAGAAGTGTATCTCAATTTTGATGTTCTCATCATAATGTAATACAGTATTTTAGAAGTAGCATGTTCGTTCTTCATATGAATTGACAAATGTGTAAAAATTGACATGCCTTCCGTACGATCTTACAGCCGGTTCATCTATCCTGCCATCATCGCGTTTATCTGTTCATCTCTCACCTTTCCCCTGGGGCTGGGGCAGTACATGGCTGGGGAGGTGAGTTTGTTTGTTTGTTTGTGTTCCGCATTGGTAAAATGCCTTTACACAGTTTAGTAACAGTTAGTAGTAAGTATATTAGCTTTGTAAGACCAGACTGTAAGGTTTGAACCGCTCATATCAGGTAGGAACCCCACTCTTTTCTGCAAGTGCAGTGGGATCTTTAACATGCCCGAGATGTGGCTCTACTTTATCCTGGGACCCCCATTTTACATCCTATCCAAGAGGATGTCCCTAACTGAACCTAGGTAGTACTCATTTTCACCTGAGTCGAATGAAAATGTAGGTTTTAAGTGCCTTTTACAAAGGCACAACACTTGGGCCTGCCAGGGATTCGAACCCAGAACCTTTAGATCCGTCTGCACACTCATGCCTCCCAACCAGCCGTTCCCATCTTGGTCCCCTGACAGCTTTTTTCAAAAACATTTTTTGTTTCCTCTCAGCTGACGCAGAAAGAAGCGATAAACGAGTTGTTTGACAACCACACGTGGACCAAAGGTCAGGCTGACGTGGACGAGGAACTCATCATCAGTCACTGGAAACATCCTCAGTCCAACATCTTTGTCACACTCGTTATCTTCATTGTCATGAACGTGAGTTTGTTTGTTTGTTTGTTTTGGTAAAGGAAGATAAAGTTAGTTTCATAGCCTTTTTGAGGCCGTAGGGGGCAGGGGCTTGTTATAAACTACATGTATATGCCTTGGCTGCCACCTCCCCAATTTGAAATTTGGTACCCATTTACATGTACATGTATACCTGGGTAGAGTGAGGTAAGTCATGATTAGTCCCTTTCCAAAGGATACAACATCTTAGTAGCTACTGCAACAAAGGTTATTCATTGGAATGTTAAGAGGTAGAAAGAGCTGAACTTGAAGTGAACTACAGCAATGTTTGATTCCTTTCAGTTCTGGATGTCAGCCATGGCTGTGACGTTACCTGTTCCAGCTGGGGTCTTCATTCCTGTGTTTGTACTAGGTGAGTACATTGTCTACAGATACATGTATTGCATTTAATTATCTACCTTTTTCTCACTGAACTGGCACTATCTAATATAAAGACCTTAACAAGTGTGTTTGAGACTTCTTGTGTACAGGTTCCAAACACAAAATAGTTCTGTTGTTGTCTTTTGTGTGTGGGAGGGCAACCTGTAAAGGTGAATGCATGAATGTGCCAGTTTAGCCCTCCCTTCTAACATTGTGGAACATTGTCAAAAAGTGTACTACATGTACCATTCACATAATTTCAGAGGTAGCACCACTGATGTTGTTATTCATTGTGGGCAGGATGCTAGTTTAAATTCTGCTTATAAGTTCTGCTTAAAACTTTAAATTCAGTTTTCAACAGTTAATGTTGTAAATTTTTTACTTGATACTAAACATGTGTTTCTCCCCTGTGTACTGTTAGGAGCTGCATTTGGCCGGCTGGTGGGTGAGAGCATGGCCGCCTGGTTTCCCCTGGGGGTCAGGTCAGATGGGATCCCCCACAGGATCATCCCTGGGGGGTACGCTGTAGCAGGTGGGTGAAATTATCTTTCCAATCACATTAAAAAAAGATACTAACAGTAATAATAAAGTCAAGTGTTACCAGGCCTAGGGAATCGTTGCATTTCCAGTTTCCCAACCACTCTGTAATCTTTGGTCACCAACACCAGACTGTCAACATGGTAGCAGACACCTTTTGATGTAGCAAGTGGCAGGACCGAGGTGGAGGGGCTGATTACCATATAATGAATTTATTTGAAGAAGAATAAACAGAGCAGTAGTTTGTTGTGCTAGACTATGTGAAGGTGAACAAGATATTTAAAATTTATAGTTTCTAAATTACCATCCCCTTTTAGGTGCTGCGGCATTATCAGGAGCGGTAACGCACACTGTTTCCACGTCTGTTATCGTGTTTGAGCTGACAGGGCAGATTGCACACATCCTCCCCGTCCTCATCGCTGTTCTGGTCGCTAACGTGATCTCACAGTGGCTCCAACCATCCATCTACGACAGTATCATACAGATCAAGAGACTGCCCTACCTGCCTGACATCGGGAGTGGGGGCTCAGGAAGGTATGTTAGAGTTGTGTTGAAAACTAGAAGGGACGCAATATTTTAATTGGTATTCAAGGTGTCATTGACAATGGTCTTTCTTGCATGGAATATTTCTGTATAATTAAATGGTTGCAAGTTCAGGAGCCCTGTCACGAAGTGGAAAGAAAAGAATATAGGTTTTGCTATCACAAAAATGTAAAAATGATGTTGCATTCCTGATGTGATTTATGCTGAATGTTTGCAGTAGATTGAAGTATGTCAGTCTCTGCTTTTTTACTGTTTAACTGTCCATAGACACACAGGTCTGGAGACCTGATTTTCAGGGATATAATTTGAAACTAGATGGCATGTTGATCTGACATTAAATTATTTTATTGTAATTCTAGAATGTATGATGTACTATACATATGTCTATGGCTTACCAGGAACCCATCACGCTGCTTGCTGGTGTGCTCATGGTGGAAGAGCATGTTTTAAGGCATCATAGCTTAATGCTTCAGCAATACTGTTGTGTCTCCTTCCAATGGGATGCTTCAGACATTTGTTTCTGGAGTACCTGAGGTCTCTGACAGGGGGCGCTTTTGCAAGGCCATTCATCTACCATGTAAAAGCATGTCCAAAGCCTGTACATGTACATCACAATTCATAATGCTTCCCAATCAGCACATTGGCAGAACATACTGTGCCTGCATGAAAGTTTGTATTCTCACATTTAAGGATGACATTCCGTCTGTAGTTTTCAAATGTTGTGTCAGCGAAATTGTAACAAAAGTCATTAAAAAACCAGGTTTGGCGCAGGTGTGGTACATCCTACCAACGTGCTTACCAAATCCATGTATTGATATGACTGACCAAAGACTATTCTTCTGACCCATCTTATCTATCTCTCCTGTCATCTGGCTTCATCCTAACCTGGGGTAACAAGGGTGCAAGGGTGGTAAGTCAAGGCTCTGAAAGTAGAGTTTGAGTGTAACCTGTGTTTGCTGCTGTGATGTGTGTACTGACTAATAATGTTAACTTTCAAGATTGCTGATCATCACATAGTTATTTGTTACTAATTGGCAACCATATTGCATTGACATGAACTCTTCTCACTAGTAGTCAGTTGATGTAAAAAAAAAACCCTAACGTGTTTTAAAAGACGTTTCAGATTGTAGAGAAGTTGAAAGAAGTGTGGTAACATTAGACAGTGTACATGTAGGTACCTTTAGATAGTGTATTGCTACTGTGTTACTAGTTTTGCTTAGCCTGGGTACTATCCTGGTTAGTTTACATCTGCAACTATTGCAGTATACGTAAACTAACCAGGATGGTACCTAGGCTAAGTTTGGCCGTCACAAACTAGCCTTTCCTGTGGTGAAATGACGTCTCGTTGGTTTGACCCAACAGACAGTAGAAACGTTATCTGAAGCGCAAACTGGGGCACTGTAGCTGGTGGTAATGTTTGCATGCTGGATGTTTTAACACTGAGTGTACCTTATCATACTAACCTTGTCCTTCAAATTTTATGGTACATTACTGTTTATGTGAAGCCTAATGGGGAAGGTTGATATTTCCTTTATGTGTGTCAGTGTGTGTGTGTGTGTGTGTGTTCATCGTGTGGTGTTTTTCTAGCCTGCTGGTACCAAAACCTATTTTACATGTAGCTGGCAAGTCTCTTCTCTTTGAGTTTGTTTGCAAAGAGTACATTAAAGACTCGGCAGCTTGAATATTTGGATACCAGGCTTCCTTGTGTGTTCTTTGCTTGTTTGCAGTGGTGGTTTTGCTTTTTTATAAAACAAGGTGTTCATTTTGTAGACTGTGTAAAAAAACTAACAACAGGAAAATATTTCTACTTTAAGTACATCTTTCATAGGTACTAGCCAGCCTTAATTTTGTCATTAGTTGACAGAAATTTCTTCAAAAGTCATTTTCCCAAAAAGCTTCTGAATCAGAAGATACATGTAACTCTGAAATGTGAATGAGACTAATTATAAATCAGAACTGCCATTGTCCAGTAACTTTAAAACATTTGTAAACTCCAAGATAGTCTAACCTTTCAAAAACTATTACATTGTACAATCTCTGTGGTATGTATTTGTTACAGTATCTAGAAGTTCATCTGTTCACTGACTAGTTAGATTTAAGAGTACATGTACCCTGTATACATGTATATTCTAATAATAGTATGTATAGTGGAGTGATTGTCCCATTTTTTCTCAGGGCCCACAATGTGTATGTGGAAGACATCATGGTGAGAGAAGTCAAGTTCATCTCCTACATCTCCACATACAAGGAGCTGAAGGACCTGCTCAACAGTTGTCGACTCAGTTCCTTTCCATTGGTGGATGCACCAGGTAAGGATATGAACTCTTTTCATTGGTTGCATGCAATATTGTTATGACAGAAGCAAGTTTGAACTGTAATTTCCAACACAAGAAATTGGGCTTACATGTACACATATTTTGACGGTACAACTCCAGTTTTTGTCAAGGAATGAGCAATTCACCGCTTCTGTGACATCACATTAGGCAGATGGCACAGGTGGCTCTGTGAGCAGTGGATCATAGGATGTAGAAAGTCTGTGGCACCCCCTGTCTTTGTTTAGGGATGGTTGCAATACCCTGATGTAGATGGCCTCTTTAAGGTGGTCCAGAAGGATAGCTGAGGCATATTTAGAAATACTACGAACTCTATCTGATATGGTAGTCTTTTGGGTCTATTTTTATAATTTTCTTTCGGTTTGTCACTATGGCCACATTTTGGCCGCCAAATTGACCGCCAAATTGTGCATTTTTTTCACACTCCAGCCAGGCCCCAGTGGGGGTGTGCACAGTATTTTTAAAAGCTACTCCGCCGCTCGACCAATCAGGCTCGCTGGTCATTACGTAAACTGTGAGAGCTTCACTTTCATAATTTTTGGGAAGGGAAAAGACACTGGAAAAGAGAGTTTTACTGAGCGTTTGATGTCAGTTGTTTGCAAAACGTTTTGGGTAAAAACCTGCCAAATGCAAAGAAGAATAATTTTCTGAAAACACAAGCCGTTTCCATTGTTTATCACACTTCGTATCGGCAAAAAGTTGTCAAGTTGCAACACACAACCAGAGATATGCAGCCACACAAATCACCAAAAACGCCAGAAATAATCTGACAACTTCCTATATAAAAACATTCGACTGCCAAAAGAAACGAAGCTGTCTGCTTTGAGCCACAAGTTAGATCTTGGTTTAGTTATGAGCGGCCTGGCGGACCGGGTCACTGCATGCATAAAGAGCCGCGCTTGGTAGTTCATACTCGGCCGTCATTATGCGGCGTTATCCTTTGTGTTCTTTCATGATTTTCATAGACAACTCATTAAGTAATTTTCTACCGAATAAAAACGCGTCTCTACCTGTGCACTGTCTTATTATTCTGAGTTTGTATCGACTGCAACACGTTTGTAACTACTAAACGTTAACGTTACGTTCTAGTGAACAGACATGATAAGAACTACTAGTAATTTTTATAAAATCTACGTTTTTATTAAAAAATACGATACTTACAAACTTCAGCAGAATTTTTACATAATCTTACGGTAACTGCTAACAATAATCTTTTACGATTTACAGCATACAGCAAATAGTAGCCGCTTACAAAAAAAATCAGTTCCAACAGATTTACAGAGATAGTCCGTACTTTTCAGATAGAACATAGAACGTCGTGCGTGAAAATTATTTCCACAAGTCTAGGACAACGTGCAACGTAAATTCACATAATCAACAAAATTATACTCGCTCATAATCTCATACCACGTCCGGGCAAGCTGTTTTCCAGGGCTATCTACTCCGGTATCGCGCGATAACTTTTCAGTGTTGTGATCTTGCTGATCGTCAATCTCCTCTGGGGGTAGGCCTAAAAAACAAGTCCGTAACTCCAGAATACCCCGGCAGATTTTCTCCAATAAGGTCTCAGAATAGTCCATAAACCTTCATCTGCAAATCTACGTAGGATACGGCCGTGAAAAAGATCGTCTACCGGCCCAAATGCTGGCGCAAAGCGCACAGCTTTCTCCGCTCGTAAACAAGCCACGCCATCCGCCATTTTGGGTGAGTCACGTGACCCCTACTCGCGCGAAATCTTAGCGTTCTTTTTGGCTGTTCTTTTTACTGGACATATCCCCGGCCTGTTTTTCCAAATAGCGCCGCAGTAAGCTAAATACAGCGTGCTGAAAGGTCAATGACCCATTTTTCGGTGGGAGGGATGGGCGCCCTTGGAATGGCGACAAAAAATTGGCGATTTCGGCTCTTTCGGGCTTCAAAATGGACATTATGTAACCCCTACGACATATACAGCATTTTAAGAATGAAACTGTGGAAAAAATGTTCATGGAAAGAGACAAAAAGGTGGTATTTTTTGAAAGATAAGCTTATAAACTAAAATCGTATGCGAGGCCGACACACTGCGCCGCTTTATATGTTGGGGAGGGGTGCTGGCGCATGGCACTGTTGACATTTACGAAAAAAAATTTATAAAAAATCAACACTTTGAGATATTGAAAAATGCTCGCATACGTTTGTTCCTATTACTAGTGTGTGCCTTTCAACAAAATATGGTGAATAAAAACCAAAGCGCTGGCCAGAAAAATTGATTTTTCTAAAAAGGGGGCGTGGCTCATAACTCGAGATGACGTCATGATTACGTCATCAAAATTTGCATAAATTATCATCTTGCACTAAGGTACTCACACAAAAAAAATCAATGACCATAGGTAATCCTAAGTAGTATTTTTAGGATGTCCCCAAAGTCCTCAGCCACCCTTCCATACCACCTTAATACCTCTTTTAGTACATTGTATAGTAACTTCTTTTGGTTGCTCTTTCTTTCCCATGTTCGTGTGCCCTGGTTGTGTTTGGAAGAGTGTTGGTTCATTGACTTGTTTCCACCTTGGACTGATGCACCCCATTGTTGTTCCCAGAGTCCATGATCCTGCTGGGTTCTGTGAAAAGGTGGGAGCTCGATGACATCATGGAAGACCACCTAAGTAACGCCAGGAGACGCCTGGTGATGTCACACACCAACCACCCATCAGTGCGATTCAATGCAGCAGGTGGGGTCATTAAACATTTTCAGTGAAACCTGCAGGGTACTTGTTTGAATGTAATCATGTGACAGTTTTTGAAAGGAAAGAAAGCTTTTTAGCTATAAACTCAAACCCTGGGAGTTTAAGAGACATTGAAATCAACTAGCTATAGAATGCAAAGCAAGTGCATGTTTACCTTCATATGGCCTAGCCTAATCAGTCGGAGGGGCCTAGACCAGCCCCTTCAACTGATCATTGCTACATATACACAATGTTACCCAACACCACAGAGTGTCTGCTACAGCACCTGTTACTATGGTGACAGAAGTCTGGTCCAGGTCAGTGACCTTGACCTTTTTTGTTTGGAGAAAAAAAAAGAAAAAGAGCAAAAACAATGTTTTCCTTCTGTGAAGGCAAACATAATAAATGCCCTAAACTTTGATAGATGACATTGATAGACAAAAAACAACTGACGATTTGTTACTTCTGACTCCAGGAGATGGAGATATTGAGATGAAAGACATCAGAGTGGTTCATCGGGAGGAGGAGGAGGATAAAGAGGAGGAGGAGGCAGCAGCAACCAACCAGGAGACAGTAACAGTGGTCGACTTCAACAGACATGTTAGTTTTACACTCTATCAACTAGGTTGAGAACAATCTCTCAGAATAACAAATTCAATAGAAATTTAGTTTTAAAAATCATCAGACTCAGTCGAAGAACCAATATAATAATGTTAATTTAAACAACTTGAAGATGAACTTGTCATGAAGTACATGCACAATGTTCTAAGTACAAGTTTGTGTCACCAGGGTATCAGTGCTGCCCCTGCTGCTGCCCCTCCCAAGTCCATACTGAAGAAAAGCCCCATATCCAGTCCAACCACTACTCCCAATGGCAGTCCTAAAGCCAAGAAGAAATTTGGTAAGTGTTAACTTTCAGTACTTTATAGTACCACTGACTAGTACAATGTTTTTATCCCTCCTACTACTATAGCTAAGTGCAGCACTAAATGTCATGGTCTTTTCTTGGACTAGATTTTCTTTTGTCATCTTGAGTAAACCCACACTTAGCATGCCACACCTCCAGAACTTGACCGGATTTTATGTTCTCAGCTTGAATGTGTAATGAAGTCAGACAAGTAAAAATTGTATGATATTCACAAGTCACTGACCGGGATACCTGAAAAACATGTCTACGTACTTGAGGGTATTTTGCCCCTGTTGAATAAATGAGTGCATGTCTGTGTATTTTGTCATGTAGTTTGTTACTCCAGACTATAAATATTATTATAGAAACATGTGGTCTTCCAGTATCTCAAGCATTGTGCTGTGTTGTTTTGCATCATTTTGTTCTTTTCCATGTTGTCCTATGTGTTTGTAACTGTCTGTCTGTCTGTCTGTGAGTCCAGCCAAGAGAACTCGAGCGAGTGTAGATATAAAACCCCAGGAAATGGAGAGGGGTAAGAATCGTCAAGACAACTTCAAGACTTAAAATGTGCCATCACCGAACTGAACTTTCTTGTGCCCCATCTTTACATGAATCTTAAGCATATTTTGAGTTCTGCATGTACCTGTACAAGAATGTAGGAAGATTTGGTGGCCTGAGTTACAGTTAAATTGCATGCTTTCACACAAAGAAACTTTTTTGTACACAATATAACTCATGGCATGCTGGTCTGTTTCTTGTGGTGGAATAGAATAATATTATGTAGTTCAGTCGATAATTTTTACAGTGTCATACAAAACTGTAGACAACTAGATAATGATATGAATCCAGGGCTTTAGCTCTTCTGCATGGTGAACCATGAATGCCAGGTATCCTTATAATTTATATGATTTGAATATATTCAGTACATGTAGACTTCATTTTATTCTTAATGTTGCAACTTAGAAATCTACATGAAAATGCTAAACTGTATGAAGATGTTCTACTAACCAAGAATTATTGCAGAGCTTATATTGTCAGTTGGTTTTGTTTTTCCAGCTGTGTTGCTGATGATTTTGTACATGTATGTTTTTCCATCACTTTGTTTTTCTAGTCTGGAAAGACAGGAAGATCACTGGGAAGGGAAAGAAAGGTTTAAATGATATTTTTTTTTTCTTGGCTGCAAGCTGTAAGCTGACTTCTTAATCCAAAACGTGCCAAGTACATACAATGTAGTACAACCAGCATACTAGGTTATTAGAAATAACTCAGTCAACTGGTACTGATGCATGGGGTATGCCACTCATAACTGGTGACACAAATACAGTAGTTCCTACAAAATAAAGTCAGGTGTGTCAAGTATAAGTGTCAGTCAACCCAAGTATCATGCAAGCTTAGTCTCAATAGTCATTTACTAAAAGCACACTTAGCCTGCAAGTACATGTACATTGTGTATTATGAACATAATCATTATTACTCAGAATGCCTTTCAAGCTGTTCCTTTCCAATCTCTTATATCTTTCCCCCACTGTTGATAACTGTTTTCCTATTTTCCAATACCAGGGACCAGCACTTTCTTCTATCTTACTTAACATAATACATGCACGTTTACAACATACATAAAACTGATACTGTACAAGACTGTGTATAGTACATATTGTGAAATATATTCAAGAAGGGCCAACTAACAGTTATTTGGCCCTAATTTACCTGATGCTATGTAATATTATCTAATATATGCAACAATGATAATTATTAAATAAGAAAGCAGTACATGGCTAACCCAGATACATGTATTTGCTGTTTCAGCGTTTGCTTCTAGTTTCACTGTAGTCAGACACTGCATGGGGATTGCATCTAACTTCAACTGCATGTTGAAACTGTCTCAGTTGAAAAGTTGCAACGTAAAATTTTGGAGGTCTGCATGCTTCAGTGCATGTCCTGATTACATTGTATAACCCATTGTAGCTTGTTGTCGTCAGAAGCCCTTACGATGTATATAGTAGGGTTTCTTATGAATTTGTTATTTGAGAGTACAAATATGATCGTTAGTGTTTTGTCATTTATATTGAATATGATGAAAAAGAGGGCATGGGCAAAGCATGGGGTTATCCAAACTTTGTCCATGTGTATACAACATTACTACATGTATTTTGTTACACAGTTTTGCTAACATCCCAATAACACGGCTTATCCCCTTCTCCATGTCATTTTTATTTGTTAGAAGTTCAATGTCTCCATTTCTGTTTCCAGACTATCCCAACCCAGCCCATGAGAGTCCCTACAGAAGTATGTTCAGGCCAAGAGAGGACACACCAGTAAGTATAGTACATTACATGACTGTACCCGTCTATTATTCAACAACAATAACAGGAAAATGTACTTAGTAGTAAGCACATACTACAACTGTCTTGTTTTCACACTATTGGGATGACTTGAATGAGGATAAGACTAGCATAAGAGTTCATCAGAGTTGGTAAGTTACATAATGAGAATTAAATTGTTCTCAAGCTCGAGGAATTTTTGACCGAAATTTCTCGGTCTTCATCAGTCTTGAATTCTTTCTTCATTCATTCTGATGAAGACCGAGAAATTCTGGTGACTCAAATTTCTTGAGTTGGAGAACAGTTTAATTCAAATTATGACTAGATAAAATTCCCAAACTGCCATTCTTGTTTAGAAAAAAGAATCAGCCAGTTTGACAGACCCATATTGAAGTCACCTGTGATACTACTGTACACCACAATAACATCATTGTGCATTTACCGTTAACACTTGTGTGTACTACAATGTACGTTTCACCATTGTCTTTATAATGCACTGTTTGGAAATACTGCTTGACTTTGATACATATAACTGACAGTATTGCCATGACATACATGACATTGTACTGTGGTGTCGGCCATTTTGTATTCCATGACCTTGACAATTCCACAGGTAACCTTGACCGCCATGGTTGAACCTATTCAGAGTTTTCTTTTACTCTCTACTCTGTCTCCTATGGTATGTCTGCTCATACTTTTCATCTTAAAGTAGAGTGGATTCATTCCTCAAGCTCAGTAAGACATCTGGAGCCGCATAGTTCCCATTTAGAACTTTTATTCAGCGTGTCACAACTGGTTTAGTGCGGTGTGAAAGATGTCAGTTAGCTTGAGGCATGAATCCACTCTACTTTATTCTGTTACTTCATTCCATTGTACATGTAATTCTAAATCTGTCCTTTCTTTCTACTACAAACTCTCACTCATAACCATTCATGCTAAAATGGATTTTTCTCCAAAACTTGTAATAAAGAATGAATACTGAATGTAAAAGATCATAATATTACTTATAATAATGAATATTGCATTTAGTGATTGTCATCATTTTAAGTTGCAATGTTAACATATACCACATTTTCTTTCAATTTAACTTTTTGTAAAAGGAGAGGGAACATAATATTTTTATTAAGTGCTTGATAATGTATAATATGACAATGATATGTCAAGAAATAAAGGCTTTTCAATCTTTAATGCACGTGTTGGATTTTTTGTAGATATTCCTGGCCATAAAATAATTTGCATCTTTTCATTCGTTTCCATTTGATTTTTTGACAAAAAATTAAGTCATAATCCATATACATCAGATTTGACATTCCCACCCATAACAATGTAAGGGGGTCTGCATGGGGTTGTAACAAATCACCCAAAATTTTTGACATCATGGTTAAGTCAGAATCAAAAATGTTACCAACACATTGCAAAAACCACTGTCAACCACTCAGTGCAAAGTTATTGTAAAACCATGTCTTAACAGGTAAAAAGCATACAGACCCCCATACAAACAACCAACATAGGTACAGAATGCACCTACAGTTACTGGCAAGATACCCAGTTCAAACTTAGTGTAGTTTTGTGAGAATTTTGTGTGGAAATTCTGCCGTAGCACAGACCCCAGAGGAGACCTAGTCTACATAGAGCTTCAGATGACTGGGTAAGTCAGCAGTGACTTCTGACTCCCACCAAGAAAAAAACACTTGGAATGCTGGAATTTCTTTTCAATAAAAAAATCAGACTGGAATGCTGGAATTTTCTTTCAGAAAAAAAATGACTGGAATGCTGGAATTTTCTTTTGGAAAAAAGATGAGTCTGGAATGATGGAATTTTCGTTCAATAGAAAACAGCCTGGAATGTGGGAATTTTTTTCAATAAAGACTTAGTGAAGGACAGTTGAAAGTATTGCACCCCATACAATGGAAACTTCTTGCACAACAGCATGCAGTTCAAAAACTGGTACAGTACTTGGTTTTAGCATGGCCATCGGATTTTGAAGTTTTCATGCCTCAGTATTTTTGTAATATTATTATATTGTGATATGTCTGTGCATGTTGGTACATGTACATTGATTAAGCATGGGAAAATGACCAAGTTTATGCAGGTGATATTAGAATTTGATGTAAGTTTATAATATAAAGACAAGAGTTTGCTTACATAAGAGAATTTCTTAATTTTACTGCTGATTTTCACTTTGCTATACTTCTCTGCCCTCTGCACTTTTTCTGGAGTTATATCTGCCCTGTTATTGTTAAACTGCCAAAAGGCTACCATAGCAGGATGAAGGTTAAGCTCATTGTGTTAATTGTCAAGGAAGGAAATGTTGAAGGAATATTGTGGTCATCTGGAGCTGTGATATTTTACCATGATGTCAAGTATTTCATGTGATCCACAGATTAAAGTAAAATTATAACCAATGGTCAGAATCCGTCAGATGACCACATGCCCCAAGACATTTCCTTTGATCCCATAATATACATGTAAACTGTATGTTCTGTTGGATAGTCATGGTTTGTAGTAGAAAGTCATGCATGCATCTCTGTGTCTTTCTCCCAGGATATAGAAGAGTTGGCTGACATAGGAGACCTCACTCCTGAACAGGTGAGTTTTCCTTGCTGGTCAGTATTTAGTATCCTTGTCCAGAAAGTCTTGATTAGGCTGAAAAGTGTTACAGTATGTGATACTGCTAAGGATGTGTTGCATTGCTGTGTTGCTGGATATTGGTTTGGTAAAGACAATCATGTAACTGTACATGCATGTATACATGTACAAAATGTATGATCTGATTCAGAAGATTCAGAATCTGTGCGGTGTAGACAAGCTCTTGCCATGCAGATGATGCAGATATTGTAAAATTTTCATGTTTTTTAACCTCCCTGCTGCCTAACCAATCGAGAATTGGCAGCCAGATGGCTACTTCAGTGTGCTAAAGGTTAAGTCCAATTGTACGATGACTTAAGTCGGAAATCCTTTTCCAGTTAGCAGAGTGGGAGGAAGAGCAGCTACAGGACAGAATTAACTTTGACGCCGTCACCATCGACCCAGCACCCTTCCAGCTGGTGGAGAGGACATCTCTACATAAAGTACGGCTGATTTGCATATTCGTGACTTCTCCCGGACATACACAGGCTTTCACACATACAAGCACACACTTTGTGCACACACATACAATATGTAACATGAAAAAGAATGTCTTTTATCTACTAGGTACATGTATGTACATGTAGCAATAGCCTGCCATCCTGGTTTGTTTACGTCTGCTCCCACAGTGATTGGTTGTTAGCAATGGTGGGAGCAGACGTAAACTAACCCAGGCTTAAGTAGTAAAAAAAAATACCATCTTTGTGCGCTAGATATCTATGATGTTGTATGATATGCATGGTCATGAACATATGCATGTTCATGACCATTGTTAAAGCATCAAGCAGGCTTAATAATGTTCTTTCCTTATGTTATGATAGGACTTTCCGCATGTGAACATCAAACCTCCTTTTCCCTCATATTGCAAAAGTAAACCACCACAAAAGTAAATGTATCAATTCAGTTTGCTTCAATCTGTGTCCTCCAGGTGCACTCCCTCTTCTCTCTCCTGGGTCTTCACCACGCCTACGTCACCACCATCGGCAGGCTTATAGGGGTCGTCTCACTCAAGGAGGTGGGTGGAAACACTTCTCTTTCTAGTCAAAACTTGCATTATAATCTTCCAACAAACGTTGCACATAACATATAGGATTGTAAAACGAAAAGTTAAACTCAATGTTGTGTTCTTGAAGTACAGATTGGATGGTTTCGTTTTATTTCCATTTCAGCCGTCACATTTAATGCCTTTAACACTGTAAATAAACACCACAACATGAAACTATGAATTGTGTTCTACACAAAACATGTTTGGTTTTGCATGTATAGATGAAGTTTTCATCATGAAAAGAACACCTTTAATTGCTTCATTTTAATGTCATAAGCACACATTTGACAGACATGTTTACCCCAGTGACTATTTCCTATAGCCTCTTTGCTGTAAAATACATTTGTATATCATATGTCACTCATGATTAACTACAGTTCCTTTTATGCAACATAGCCAAATGTCCCATGTACCTGCTACATGTCCAATCCTACCCCCAATGTACTTGTCCTGTTCTAGCCCAAAGTTTATACCCGTCCCATTCTTTCCCAAGCTTTACCTTTACTTGTTCCATTCCTGCCCAATGTTTACCTGTCCCAGTCTAGACTACTATTAACATGTCAAGTCCATCTACGTGTATTACAAGGATGTAAATAACATTGTACAGTTTCATAATAAGTTTTCCAGACAAGTACAATGTATGTTCAGACTCTCTTTCTCTTCCCCATAATTCATAAACCAACAATTTGCACTGTAAATTGTCAATTGCAGTAGTGCATGCTACACAATTCGAATCACAGACTCGCTTTATCCTAACAGCATCTGGGCTGGGTTTGTATTTTCTGCTTTTTCTTTACATTTTAAAACATATCATACAGCATTTATGCCATGAGAGGGAGTTTCTTGAAGACTTTGCATGAAATGTAAATAGACAGTTTTTCTAATTTAGATCTAGGAACAAACTTCTACCAGTTACAGTAAAATAAATGTCACATTAATATTTTTGTTTTGGACAGTTGCAACTTTTCGCTAGTAGATTCATGATTTTTTTTCAATACATTGTTTTCTTGTGGCAGAAATGTTGCATGTTATATGTAACATGTAGATTGCTGTAGTGGAATGTGCAAAGCTGTGTGATCAAGAGTTGGAAACACTTTCTGTTCATGGTGACAAGTCTCATTTTAAAACCACCAATTTTTGGTACCTTCTAGTACTTGATGGTCAAATAAGAGAGCATCTGAAATGGGCTGCCTTGGGATCCTCTACATTTTTATCAAATTCAAACCATCAAGCCCTGAACACTTTGCCATGAACAGAATATGTTGCATCCTCTTGTCCACAGAAACCAGCCTTGGTTCTTTATGTTGGAATGTTGTTTGGCTGTGCCGTAATGCTAGCTAGGCTTCTGTCTTGGTTGGCCTGAAGGTTTTTCTTTTCCTTTCACAGTTTCACCACTTTGGGGGTACAGGTACAGATGTGGAGCTTGAGAGTAATCATGATGAGGAAGGCATGTTTTCTCACGCATTAGAATCTGCAGCCCAAAGGCTATGACTCAATGCACTTGGTTGGCCTTTGACTTCCCAAACTCAGTAATACTATTACGAGGCAGAGATTTTCATAGAAATAGTTTTAGAGCATATTTTTCTCTTCATATGTAAATTTAGCTCACTCTTTGAATATGTTGCAGACCAAGCAATTGCATTGTTTTAGCCTAACCCAATCTGTACTACCAACTTTGCATTGGCATTAACAACAATTTTATTGTGCCATAGAATTTTTTTCTTTTTTGCTGACTTTTATCAAACATGAGATTAATAAATATCAAGATGAAAGAAAAAAAGCACCCTTCTTCACATTGGAATTCCATTGCACACTTGGTAGTAACAGGAGGGACTATGATTATTGTTTATCCATGTGTAACAGGTAACACATGGATCCAGTGCAACACATACATTGCATGTTTAGAGTATAATGCATGGCAAGTTAGGCATTTAATTTGATATTACAATGAAAGTTCTTCACCTTGTTTTATAGTGTATATTACATTTTGGCTACAACTTCTTACTATCAGTACGTGTGCCAAGTTCTCCAACTAATGTTGCAAAACCTCTCATTAAATATTTGAATGCTCTAATACTGACTTTCGTCTAAACACATAACAAGCATAATATTTTTTCTCAATTTCAAAGCTTCCTGTATTAGAAAAATGTATCTTTGTTACAGGATATAAAAACAACTCATCAAATGCTCTCAGCTTTGTTTGTACCATATTCTAAAACTGAATCTTTGATTTGATTTGATTCTTTATTGCAGACATGCTTCAAAGTTTGACTTTAGTTTATTTTTAAATTAATGTCTTGTTTTTGGTTAACAGATCGGGGCAGATCCTCGCCAATGGTAGGGCAGGAAAAGATATGATGATGTTTGTTTTAGACTTAGACTTTAGTTGGCACCAAATCACTCCCCTCCCCCACAACCACCACTACATGAGGACAATGTACATGAAACCGTATATCCTCCAAACCACTGACTCCAACACAATGTAGCAAAACTAGAAGGAAGTGAGAAACAATAACTATAGTACACCTTTCAGAAGAAGTCTGAAATTTCAACTTTCTGAACACAGTTTCTTGCATCATCCTCACAAAGTACAAGGTAGATCACTTAAAGCACACATCAGTGTTTGACTATGGTAATATTTTTATTCATATGACTTGAAAACTTACTGCTTATAATTCTATTGCAGCTATATTACCCTCTTTTTCAGTTCTAGGAGTATTATTTGAAGTACCAAATATATGACACTGCTGAAATTTTAAGATGTTCTACTAATGCCATTACAGTAGACCAAGGAGGTTCAAAAAGTAGACCAACTCCACAATATCTTATCCAACTACATTGTACATGTGACATTTGAAACTCAATAAAGCTTCTTGAACTTTGGAGGTAAAAACCCACTGGTTGTTGAATAAGGAACCTTCATACACAGTCTCTTACCAACCTGATGAAAGAGGGCCTTTGTACATGTAAGTCTCCGAAATCCATAAGCACCTACCCAAAGTCATTGTAATTCATCATCAGTACATCAGCCAAACTGTTGTTCCTTAAAGCTCTGAGATTGAGAATTTAACGTAATTTGTACTCTGCAGCGAAAATTTTGCAGAATTCGTAATCACTACCTCCCCCTACAGGTCAATACAAAATAATTCTTGAACGTTTGTTTGCCATGTCCATTTACAATAGACCAGTTTACCTTTCACAGATCACATGAGCTGCTTACCTCACAGGCGGACATATCGAACAGAACTGTTACACCATTCTAGTTGGCAGCTTTTGCTTGTGATATTCCCCCTGGCAGATCAATGTGATGGTCAGAATTCTGCCCTCAGATACCAGAATCGGCTATCTGGTGAGATTGGGTGGAAGGAAACGGGACAGCCAACTTTCAGTGAAGTATCAATATGCTTTAGACTCCTTGTGTTGGCACAGGTCAGGAACTTTCAGAAATTGAAAGTATCTACAGTGTTAAATCAAGCGAAAGTCGGTTGTAGAACGGTGTTTTTGAAATGTCCCCTGTGACGTAAGCAGGTCATGCGATCCATGAAAGGTAAACTGGTCTATTCACAATCCCACATACTAACAGCCTGCTCTCTGTGTTGTGATGTGTCCTTTTAAATGTTCAGGTTCGGAGAGCGATTGAGGGAACTCAGGAGGACCAGACGGAAGTGCCTAGGAGAAGAAAAATGTCCAACGACATTCCGATGTCGAACTTGGACCATGCGGAATCTTCTTCGGATGAGGGGGAGGACAACCGGCTTATGTCGGACAGTAGTGAAGAGGGAGCGACGAGACAAGAGTTTCGTTTTACCGTGACAGATGTGGACGCAGAAGGTATAGAGGACAGCAAAGTTTAGTCGGACCATTACAGTTTAACTACAATTCTGAATATTAAGTTTTTTCATAGAACTATGCCACAAGTATGTCACACTGAAGAGCATGTCAGCAGAATGTACTGTGTTTGTGGAAAACCTGTAATGTATTTATTGCACATAGCAGAACGCTTGTTTAAGGTCGTATTGGTGTATTTAAGGATGGCATCCTGTCTACAGTTTCCAAGTGTTGTTGCAGAAAAGATATAATCTGCAATGCGCAGATTTCTGATTTAATGTTGACCAAACATTTAATGAAAACCGTGAAAAATTTTGGGTTTGGTGCAGGTGCCGTACGTTCTGCTGACATTCTACACCTAATTGTGTAGGGTTGTGCATTTCAAATTTTACAAAATGTTACCCACTTTGTATTCATGTTAATCCATAAGGTTATACAATGTACTGTTGTCACTAACATTTATGTGTTACTCATCCAACTAATATGTGCCTCTGAACTTAAAACAGAAAGGGCTTTGCTTCTTCACAGACTTTGCCTCAGAATAGATTATTCTATTTGTAAAATGGAAATCATACCGTTTTGACTTGTCAAGCTGATTATGTTGATGAGCTTCGTTTGCACCGTTTTGTCATTAACAAAATATATATTACATGTTCATGTTCATCTGTGACTATACATGTATACTACTAGTACTATACATAGACCAAATGATGTTTGTTAGTTCATAAGTTAACAATTTGCACACATCCAAGTGCTTGATATGACTTTTTGACATGATATCCAGAATAAGGTGTAGTTTGATATCATTATGCAAATTGATAATTATGAACATCAATTCTTAGATTTTGTATCAGTGAAAGTTATTAAATGATGTACATTATATGTATATTTCTAATTACTGAAGTAGTATTGATGATTTTTGTCCATCGCTGTCTAAAGTATCTTTAGTTCTCAGAATCCGAGTTTTTTTGTTTGTTTTTTATTGCACATTCGTATCACCAATTGTGTTGCTATGTGTTAGTGTCAAAAATATTCCTTACCGAATGCAATAACATGTTGCTATACATGTTGTACGTAGTTCATTTATTTGCATACCTAATGTGGCAATGTTTATCATGCGTGGATAAGTGCAAATAACTAGAAAGGTAACATGCAAAGCAAATGCATAATGTTTACCTTCACATGATCTAGCCTAATATGACTAACAACAGAACAATGTTGAGCACTATATTTTAGACAACTTTACTCAGTGTGTTTCAGAAATTGACTACTAGTATTTAGCCTTGACTGGATTTAAGAAATCCATAGTTTGTGTGTAAAACATGTTTGAATTTGTCACCTAAAGTCTTTTTTATGTGTCAACATGTTTGTACATATAGGAGCACGTTATAGCTTCTATTGTAGCCAAATGTAACAATTCCTGTACAAAGTCTTTCGATAATTTCTCAGAATGTAATAAATAACTGTAGAAAGATGCTGTTAATATGCAACAGATAGCTGTGGAAAGCTTTCTGTAGGTTAGACACTCTACCAACCCTTATGTACAGTGTACGTATAATGCAAGTTTCTTACAAACCTGCACAATAGATGCAGCTTCTTTATTTTGATAATAAAGACTTTTCATAGAAGATTTTCCTGTGGAGATTTCATGGGATGGGGAGAGGCACAAGAGCAGGCTTAGACTGGATGCCAGACTGCTTCCAGGGCCTACACAGGACAGCGTCTACTAGCCTCTACCAGACGTCAGGAGGTGGCTGAAAATAGTAGAAATTGGCCAAATAGAAATAACATGCCAGGGGATTTGGTCAGACCGTCCGCTGCTAGAGTAATTTGCCGCACCCGAAACTGTACTCTCTGGCGGCTGCCAAATCCCCTGGCATGTCATCTCTCTATTTGGCCAATTTCTACTCTTGTCAGCCACCTCCCGAAGCCTGGCAGAGGCTAATATTAGTAGTATACCTCAGACCTAGCATGTTGGCTAATTCAGGGCTTAGTATGCATCTGGTCTGACATGTAGGCCATAGTAGATTTGATAGGGAATGTTAGTTTTGCTTGGCATGTAGGACACATTTATAAATACCCAGCATTAATATGAAAAACTAACATATCCCATTACAGAAGACAAATTGACTTCAAATGCTGAACTTTATTTCCCGCACAAACACCTGTAGCTTGAACAACTCTAGCTACGAAACCAAACATGCCTCTGTAGACAGGAAGTTCCACAGTTATTTCTACAGAGGTCAGAGAAATAACTACATGTATCAAACACAACTAGGTTAGCTTTTTTTTATTTAAGGAAGTCTAAATCGATCTAAACAAACAGTTACTGGGGTTTTCTAAGAACGAACTCTCTTGATCCTGGATAGAAGGAACCAACAAACATACATAGATTGATAAAATCACTTAATAGTTTAGTAAGTGCATTTTCATCTATTAGTAAAAAAGTAGAAAACTAAACTCATAATAAAAAGTTGTCCTGTAAAAGCTGTTGTATAATCTTCAGGCTAAAAAGATTCACCTAAACTGTAGCAAGCTACACTATGAGCTACAGAACTTAATTTTAAGAAGAAAATGATTTAAGAAGCAAAAGTAAAATCAAACTACAGAAAGCTACTTTATAATTTCTAGGTAGTCTGCATGCCCTGCTAACTGACTAACAAACAACTGATACTATCTCTGATAGGTTATCAAACTTGTCAAGTTATCGAACAACTTAATTTCAGAATTTCACATTTTTCTTTAAGAATCATGCCCAGTATGAGTCCGCATGCGAGTCTTCAGATTATGCAGATGACTGAACTGCCTGCTGCACTCCTCACACTTGTAGGGTTTCTCTCCTGTGTGAGTCCGCATGTGAATCTTCAGATTACTCAGCTGACTGAACTGCCTGCTGCACTCCTCACACTTGTAGGGTTTCTCTCCTGTGTGAGTCCGCATGTGGCTCTTAAGATTACCCAGATGACTGAACTTCTTGCCGCACTCCTCACACTCGCAAGGTTTCTCACCAGTGTGAGTCTTCATGTGTGATTTCAGATGACCCAGCCGACTGAACTGCCTGCTGCACTCCTCACACGTGTAGGGTTTTTCACCTGTGTGAGTCCGCATGTGACTCTTCAGATCTGTCAGCTGATTGCATTGCTTGTTGCACTCCTCACATCTGTAGGGTTTCTCTCCTGTGTGAGTCCGCATATGTGTCTTCAAATGAGTCCCCTGACTGAACTGTTTGCCACATTCCTCACACCTGTAGGGTTTCTCCCCAGTGTGAGTCCGTATGTGAGCTTTCAAATGAACCAGCTGACTAAACTGCCTGCTGCACTTCTCACACTTGTAGGGTTTCTCACCTGTATGAGTCCGCATGTGTTTCTTCAGTTCACCAAGGTCTCTGAACTGTTTGCCACATTCCTCACACCTGAAGGGTTTCTCACCAGTGTGAGTCTGAATGTGTCTCTTCAGATCATTCAGCTGACTACACTGCTTGCTGCAGTCCTCACACTTGTAGGGTTTCTCACCAGTGTGAGTTCGTTTGTGCCTCTTCAGATGACCCAACTCACTGAACTGCCTGCTGCACTCCTCACACCTGTACGGTTTCTCCCCAGTGTGAGTCCGCATGTGTCTCTTCAGTTGACTTGGGGTACTGAACTGCTTGCCACACTCCTCACACCTGTAGGGTTTCTCACCAGTGTGAGTCCGTATATGTGACTTTAGATTACCAAGCCGACTGAACTGCTTGCTGCACTCGTCACACCTGTAGCGTTTTGCAGTCACCATGCTGCCACCAAACTCCCCTTCCAAACTGCTTTCCACGTCATTACAGCTGACTCCACTTGTTGCCATGGTGATACGTGGGGTGTTCAAAAAGTTCTCGGCCTCTCCTAGAAAATAAAGGTCAAACTCCCATTCTTTGGTATAGCTGTATACTATTACGTCTTACATCACTGCACACAAAAATTCAAATTTTTATATTCATTAATTAGCACGTGACGCCCCGTGAAAATGGGGTGGGTGAGGGCAAAATCACAAGATGGCCGCAACAGAAGCGTGTGCTGTGATCAAGTCTATCGATAAAAAAGGATGTCTCCTAAGGACATCCATGAAGACATGGTCAATACACTTGGTGATGACTCCCCTTCTTATTCAACTATAAAGAAGTGGGTTACTAGCTACAAGCGCGGCAAGGAGAGCACAAAAGATGAACATATGTCAGGATGCCACAAATCAGCACCACGGACAATCCAGTTGAGGCCATCCATCACATGGTAGTGAATGACAGATGTGAGACTGTCCATCATGTAGCAGGTTCTTCGGTCTGTGTTATGACTCAGTTCACAATGTTTTGTTGAACATCCTGGGGATGAAAAAACTGTCTGCATGGTGGGTGCCTCGAATGTTTTCTGAACATCAGAAGTTAAACAGGCTGGACATTTCAAGGAACGAATTCAGTCCAATCCATGCAATTTCCTCAAAACATTTGTCACCCAAGAAGAGCTGGGTTCACCACTTTTAGACCGAATAAAAACAGCAGAGCAAACAATGGATGAAGAATTTTTCCCGGCCCCCCAAGAAGTTTTAGCGAGTTTCGTCTGTTGACAGTGTTTTTGCCTCTGTTTTCTGGGACAGTAAGGAAGTAATCATGATTGACTACCTGTGAAGGGGTTAAAGCATCAATGGGGAGTACTATTCAACAGAATTACGACAGTTGAGGACAACAGTCAAAGAGAAAAGGAGAGGAAAGCACTGAGCTGGCCTGCTCACAATGCACCTGTCCTCACAGCACAGGGGTCAGTGGCAGCAGTAAAGGAATTTGGCTTTGAAGTCTAACCCCTCCCTTCCAATTCACCTGAACTAGCACCCTCGGACTTCTACCTGTTTCCTAAACTCAAGTTCCACTTATGTAGTCAACGTTTTGATGGTAATGATGACGTCATCTATGCGGTATAGGCCAATCTGGGGGGTCCAGATGCAACCTTCTTCCACAATGGGAAAATAAAGCTGGAACATCACTGGACCAAGTGCATTGCAGTTAGAGAGGACTATATTAAAAAATAGTGTAAGAAAAATTTTACTGCCCTGACGTTTTCTAGGTGAGGCCGAGAACTTTTTGAACACCCCTCGTAACAGCCCAAATGACTTCTGTGTAAAAGAGAAGATAAAACAATGGATTTGTTTTATAGCTTCTTTATGGCATTGGGGGTTTCATTCGCGAGACCCTACCAAAACATTCGTGAACCATCCCTAATAGTTGGTCTAGCGGAGTACTAGTACTAGTATCAACGAGACCCTACCAAAAACATTAGTGTACCGCCCCTGGCGGGTGGGGGGCGGTGGTGATAAATCCCGATTCTGAAAGCTTCCCCGGGATCCCCCGAAGAGCTATAAAAGTGATCATTGCTATTACATAAGGTACATAATGTCACAATCGGATGAAAGAACATCATGTTTACGTCAAGTTGTTCGAGAAGCACTCTATAGCTCCAGCCGGTATCAAGAAGCGTCAAAAACCTCACACGCCATAATTTTCCATCAATCCGTCTAGTCTGTAAACACACCACGTTCTTTGGTCTACTCTGCTGTTGCACATATCCCTACGTACCTGAAACGGATCTCAGATGTAAAACTGGCCTTGATGCTGAATCTGGTACCGGATTTCTCCGAAAATATCGCCTTGAACCGCACAACCCTGCGACCTCACGAAGCCTCTCACAATGCACAGCGTCTCGCCTTCCGTACACCGCAGAACATAGGTATTCATCCGCCCAGAGGGAGCAAAAAATAGTGCGGATAGAGAGTTACGAAATCATAGATGATTTGCATTCAAATATCCATGAAGATGGTGTAAATTGACTTTCTAATATTGGTGAACTGTACTTCTAGCGACCGCAAAAGCTTACCCGGCTGAAGAACATTACAAAGAGATCCTCAGAATCTACAGACCAAGCAAACAGATCGTTTGCAAGACCTTGCTACCCCACGCGGTGGTCGGATGTACTGCAGCCTCTTTTCTCTGAGATCCCAGAAACAACAGATGATGCAAGACAAGAAACAAGATTTCACAATCAGAAAGCTCACTTTACAAAACTCTCAATACACAATGCATCATAATCGGACAATCATCTATGATTGGTCATGATTTGCTGTAAAATAATGTCCTTGCTGTAACTCTCTATCCTCACTATTTTGTTACTCCCCGTGAGTTTATGAATCGCGGATGAATATCTGAGTTCTGCGGTCTCCAGAAGTTCGGTACAGGCGAGACCAGGGCGAGACAACGCTTTGAAGCGTGAGAGTCTGGAGGATTCGCGAGTTTGCAGCTTTGCAAGTCAATATTTTCGGAGAAATCAGGTACCAGATTCAGCATCAACGCCAGGTTTTGTCCTCAGATCCGCTCCAGGTACGTAGGAAAAGTTGCAACAGCAGAGTAGACCAAAGAACGTGGTGTGTTTTCTTGGACTGAGACTGAGTGATCGAAAGACTGTTTTGGTCCACGTGTGACACTTCTTGATTTGATACCGGCTAGAGTGCTTCTCGAAGAACTTGATGTACACATGATATTCTTTCGTCCGATTGTGAAAATATGTAATAGCAAGGATCATTATATTTTATAAAATAGCTCTTGCAGAATCAGTTTAACCCCCCACCCACACACACACATCTGGTTCCCATTTATGTATGATTGTGAAGGGGCCGGAGGCGGTTCACTAATGTTTTGGTAGGGTCTCTACTTGATGCTCTGCCAGACCAACTGTGTCAGGGGAGCTTCACTAATGATGGACCAACAGCAACACGGGTGGTTCACCAATGTTTTGAGGGGCCTCTATTTTATGCTCTGCAAGACCAACTACCTTTGTCGTGTGTTTTACCAGTTTACACTCACTCACTCACTATCCGTTTATCGTCTCGCATTCCCCATCATAGCTCGAGGGTTGGACCTGGAATGTTGCCCTGGCCTGCAACATTGTAACATTGTAATTCATGTACATGTACATTTTATTGATTGACCTTAGTCTCCTTTCTCAAGGCGTAAGTCAAAGTCTTTACGCAGAATTTGAAGTCATTACCTCCATGAAAAATTGAGGTATTGTTTTTGGCATGTCTATGTGTGTATGTGTCTAGTGTGTTTCCGCAAATTTGTGATCAGAACACTTTTATGTATTGTTATGATATTTGGTACAATGGTAAGTCTTAGGAAGACAAAGGTCAAGGTAAAATATGGGCCTCCTAGTGGCTGACCTTTGTACTGCAGCAGAACTTCCGTTTTTTTATCTTTTTTCCTGAGAATGCTATGGTCTTGACTTTTTGGCAACAGATAGCCTTTCTTGTCAGGAATAGGTAGTGTGAGTTTGGTCCCCCTAGCAGCTTGTCCTAATCCTTGACTTACAACGAATGCGACTCCCCCTTATAAAAGGTTGTACATCATGTACAGTATAACAAATTAATTTGTTTTTTCTGATCTTTTACAGTCATTTGGGCTGTTATCACCGTCATGGCAACAAGTGGAGTCAGCTGTAATGACGTGGAAAGCAGTTTGGAAGGGGAGGTTAGCAATGGAATGTTGACTGCAAAACCCTACAGGTGTGAGGAGTGCAGCAAGCAGTTCAGGTACTTAAGTCAATTGAAGACTCACATGCGGAGTCACACTGGAGAGAAACCCTACAGTTGTGAGGAGTGCAGCAGGCAGTTCAGTCAGCTGAGTAATCTGAAGACTCACATGCGGACTCACACTGGGGAGAAACCATACAAGTGTGAGGAGTGCAGCAGGCAGTTCAGTCATTTGAGTCATCTGAAATTGCACATGCGGACTCACACTGGAGAGAAACCCTACAGGTGTGAGGAATGTGGCAAACAGTTCAGTGAGCTGGGTAACCTGAAAATTCACATGCGGACTCACACTGGAGAGAAACCGTACAAGTGTGAGGAGTGCAGCAAGCAGTTCTGTCTTCTGAGTGATCTGAAGAGACACATGCGGACTCACACAGGTGAGAAACCCTACAGGTGTGAGGAATGTGGCAAACAGTTCAGTGAGCTGGGTAAACTGAAAATTCACATGCGGACTCACACTGGAGAGAAACCGTACAAGTGTGAGGAGTGCAGCAAGCAGTTTAGTCAGCTGACTCATCTGAAAGTTCACATGCAGATTCACACTGGTAAGAAACCCCTCAGGTGTGAGGAGTGCAGCAGGCAGTTCTGTCGGCTGGGTGATCTGAAAACACACATACGGACTCACACAGGTGAGAAACCCTACAGGTGTGAGGAGTGCGGCAAGCAGTTCAGTACCTGCAGTCAGTTGAAGACACACATGCGGACTCACACTGGGGAGAAACCCTACAGGTGTGATGAGTGCAGCAAGCAGTTCTGTCAGCTGGGTAATCTGAAAACACACATGCGGACTCACACTGGGGAAAAACCTACAGGTGTGAGAAGTGCAGCAGACAGTTCAGTCATCTTAACAGTCTAAAGACCCACATGCACACTCACACTGGGCATGATTCTTTTAAGAACCTGTGACGAGCGTTGCAGACCATCATAAGAGTCAAAAGAAACGTGAAACATTGTTTTTCACGGTGACCTATCGGAAGCATGATAGTACAGGGAAAGGAAACACAAGCATTCTGATGAAAGTATGTTGTTACCACTAGCAAACCTGTTAATGGTAGAGAATGTTGGTAACATCTTCCTGTTTTTGTAATTTGTTGTTAATGTCTTTTTTGCTTGTTAGAATTTAGTTCTGGTGATTACAAAGTAAGTTCTTATGGTATAGATTGGAGCTTGTTCTTAGCATTAAGTTTTTCTAAACACAGCTGACATATGGTAGCTTTTCTTTTCATTTGTTTGAATTATTCTTAATCTACTTATCACACTTATCTACTTATCTATAATGTTTTGTTATATTTGGGCGCAGAGTTTATATTTGGGCGCAAATGGTATAGTGAAGAGAAATATGGATAAAATGAAGCCAAGTTATTACTATTATATATTATCTGATGTAATGATATAGTTGTACCTTGTAATCCTACAATTAACTAGGTACCATATTTCAGTTGTAAGAAGCAGAGTGTAGTTTTGTAGTCTCATTTTCCTTTTTATACTTCCTGTTTATAGACATTTTAGTTATGTTTTGCATATCTAAAGTTTTTCAAGTTACTAATATATGTAACTGTTATGTATTGTATTTGAAAATAAAGCTTACTGCTTTGATTTGCATTTGTCATTTGCTTCTAACTAAGTTAATGTTTGGTTTGGGTTTGGGCTAATTTTTAGTGTGTTTTTAGTTTTTTTTTGTCTGCTTTCTTTTTCTCGTACTGATACCTTTTTTTACGCCAACCCAACCCAACTCAAGCTCCTTATGAATAGAGATTAGACAAAGGATTTGTTCTCGAAAACAGTTGACTTGGAGGGAAAAAATCTACGTTTGCTGGCAAATACCGTTTTCTTGTCGGGCCGTTTTGACACGACCTCATGCGGTGGTCAACTGTACTGCAGCCTATTTACTCTGAAAATCTTACTAACAGAAGATGCCAGACAAGAAACAACATTTCACTACAAGGAAAACCAGTTTGTCCTGCTGGCAGCATTCCTGGCACAAAATTTTTCAATAATTTTCATGTCTTAATTAGATCATAGACCCACACATTTTTTCTCTGCAGTGGTATAGTTACTTCCGCATTCGTTGCGTTTCGCTGCGGTGTGATGCGTTGCACGAGAAATACATGTACCCCAAACAACAACAACCACCTGAACAACCACAATTGTGCTCCGCAGGATAAGGCTTCGTGACTTGGCAACTTTGTGCGGTTCAAGGTGATATTTTCGGAGAAATCCGGTACCAGATTCAGCATCAAGACCAGTTTTTCGTCTGAGATCCGTTTCAGGTATGTAGGAAAAACTGCAACAGCAGTGTCAGTAGAACAAAGGCAGAGTCAGTAGAACAAAGAACGTGGTGTGTTTACAGACTGAGTGTGAAGTTTTGTGCACATGCATGTGGCGCCCCTTCATGCTGGCTAGAGCGCTTCTTGAACAACTTGATGTAAACATGATGCCCTTTCGTCCGATTCGATTGTAACAATTTAATAGCAAGGATCATATATAAAATAGCTCTACGGGGAAAATATTCAAAATCGGGATTTATCCACCACCACCCCCCAACCCCAACCAACATCTGGTTTACATCACGTATGATTGACAGGGGCGGTTCACTAATGTTTTGGTAGGCTCTCGTTGATACTAGTACCCTGCCAGGCCTGTACCCTGCAAGAACAACGGTCAGGAACGGTTCACTAATGTTTTGATAGCTCTGCCAACTGTATCAGGGAGGTTCACTAATGATGGATCAACTCACTGTGTCAGGGGAGGTTCACTAATGTTTTGTAGGGCCATGATGTTTTGTAATATGAACTGTGATGTGTTAACCAATTATGCGAACTGGTACAGTGGTACCTTACCTTACTTAAGAATTTTTTAATAAGAACTTGAAGCGTCTAGTTCATGTGCAATTTATTGACTCCTCATCTCATCTTCGATACTGCTTATCCCTCTGTGAAGAGGATTATTAGCAGCTGTGCGGGTTAGTGACTGTGTGCAAACAAAGGGTAGGGTAGGGATGGACGTAGACAAGTGCAAGGACAGGACAAGTGGAAATCAATGGTGTTAGTATTACCATGGCTCTTCTACCTCCGTGGTATTACACATATTTGTCTTCGTCAGAAAGGCTATGGAATTGTCTCGCCTTATTGTGGGTGACTTCGGATTTAGCAGAATAACTCTTGAAGGCATGACTTGGCGTCCATGATTTTTTACTCTGCTTACCTGTTCGGCAGTGTGGGGATCCCAAACCGGGCAGGGGTACTCCAGTGTGGATCTTACTAAAGCCATGTAGGCACGTTGTTTGGCCTCTACACTGGCGATACGCAGGTCACGGCACAGCATACCTAGCGTTCTTTTGGCTTTGGCGGTTCGTTATGTTGTCGATATGGAGACTCCAGGAGAGGTTTGAAGTGATGGTTACACCCAGATATTTGGCCTTACTTACCTTAGCCAGGGGGGATCCATGAAGGGTGTAGGAGTAGGTGATGGGTTTTTGTGGAAGACAGACATGACTTCGCATGACCTAACTGTAGGCAGTCTTGAATCCCTCATAACTACATTTTAGTCACATATACAGTACAGACTTGGCTTAGTAGTGCAAATGTTGTTCAAAATTTTGAAATTATGGGACCGACAAGGCTGTCTTAGACCGTCGATGGTGGTTAGTGCTGTCACAGCAATCCTTCCACATCAGAATCATACAATAAAATACGAGTGAGACCACCATAAAGAAGTTAAATAACAAATCCATTGTTTTATCTCATCTTTTACAGAAGTCATTTGGGCTGTTATCACCAACATGGCAACAAGTGGAGTCAGCTGTAATGACGTGGAAAGCAGTTTGGAAGGGGAGTTTAGTGGCAGCATGGGAACTGCAAAACCCTACAGGTGTGAGGAGTGCGGCAAGCAGTTCAGTTACCGTAGACAACTGCAGAGACACATTCAGACTCACACAGGTGAGAAACCCTACAGGTGTGAGGAGTGCAGCAAGCAGTTCAGTTACCAAAGTCAACTGCAGAGACACATGCGGACTCACACTGGTGAGAAACCCTACAGGTGTGAGGAGTGCAGCAAGCAGTTCAGAGAGCTGGGTAAACTGAAGATTCACATACGGACTCACACTGGGGAGAAACCTTACAGGTGTGAGGAGTGCAGCAAGCAGTTCTGTCTTCTGAGTGATCTGAAGAGACACATGCGGACTCACACAGGTGAGAAACCCTACAAGTGTGAGGAGTGCAGCAAGCAGTTCTGTCATCTGAGTGATCTGAAGAGACACATGCGGACTCACACAGGTGAGAAACCCTATAGGTGTGAGGAGTGTAGCAGGCAGTTTGGTCAACTGTGTTATCTGAGGAGACACATGCAGACTCACACAGGAGAGAAACCATATAGGTGTGAGGAGTGCAGCAGGCAATTCAGAGAGCTGGGTAAACTGAAAATTCACATACGGACTCACACAGGAGAGAAACCCTACAGGTGTGAGGAGTGCAGCAAGCAGTTCACTCAGCTGGGTTATCTGAAGTCACACATGCGGACTCACACAGGCGAAAAACCCTACAAGTGTGAGGAGTGCAGCAGGCAGTTCAGTCATCTTTGCAATCTGAAGACCCACATGCGGACCCACACTGGGCATGATTCTTAAAAATGTGACGAGTGTTGCAAACCCAGTCAAGAGATGTATGTAGGCCACCTAAGATGACGTGAAAAGTTGCTTTGGACAAATGCTTGACTGAAGAAAAGAAAGAACTGATAGCCTCTAAGTTAGATACCGAGTGTGCTGTTATAGTTAGATGTCAGATAACAATGTAACAAAGTGATTTTTGTTGAACAGTTCGTTTTATGATTTACTTATATTCGACAATGCTTTTTACTCCGTGAAGGAGGTCAGGACCTCCGGACGGAGTGTTGTGATCGGCTGATTTTTCGTGTTCGCAGTCAAAACACTGGGTTCTCTTTGTGTAATCGGCACGCAATTTTATACGCCGTCTGCGGGCATGCCCGTGTTGATGCACGAATGTGTATTTTTGCCGTTGCTGCTTTCGCGGTCAATGTAATATCACAGACGCACCCCTACAATTACGAGGCGAATTGGAATGGTCCAGAAAAACGCGTTGTTTGGAATTGCAGTGGGGGGGGTAAAAGTTCATGCAGATACGGGGTGGTTTTTATAAGTGGTTCCAGATGTTTTTGCCCATGGTTAAGAGATGCCAAGTTTTTTGGAAGATGTTCGCAGCCAAAACGCATTCTTCCGTACGTCGCATTTCTGTGTAATTTCGCATGTGGTGTTGCATTATGTCCGGGATGATGCACGTCTTTTTATTTTTACCGTAGCTATTTTGATATTGAAGTAAATGCATATTTTAGAAACATCCCTACTTTTACAATCCTGTGGAATAGGCCGTAGGTTTAGGCAGTTGTCTGGTAGCAGATGTACTCTAAGCAGATATCCTGGTTATCTGGCCGGCGGTAGTAACACTCGCGGTGCTTACCGCAACTATTGCTGGAATTTCCAGGCGCGCTTAATTAGGTACAGGCACGGTAAGACGGTGGGACTGTCTTTGTTACTAGACACGACCATGATAGTCCGATCTTTATGTGAATGCAATGATTGTGTGTGTGTAATTAAAATGAACTTCGAACTTGAAGCACAGTATATATCTTTACACGCCTTGGGAGCAGTAATGGATTTAGCTCTTTGTATGTTTTATGCTTGTGACGCGCCCTCATTGTATTAACTGTTGCCTAATTATAATGTCTGCACAGTAGGTCTGGTGTTGACGCTTGGGATTTTGTTGAAATATATAAAACTTCACGGAGGATTGTCACCTATGGCTTCTTGTTTTCTATTCAGAAGGGTTCTTTCTCAGTAGAAATAATGTTATCCTTTTAATGTTACTTCTTGAAGAAGTCTGCAGATGCATGATAGTTTCTCTGTTTCTTATATTGAGTATTTTCTTAGCAATAGCTGTTGTTAAATATTATATAATTATATATATTATTTAATATAATTATTGTTTTGTTAGATTTAGGCCCATAGGAAGTCTAAAGAGAAGGTTTGAATTAGTAAGTAAATCCAGTTTCTGCTAATATTTTCTATATACATGTGTAATGAGCTGTTGTTTTGTAATTCTACAATCAACTAGGTGACATATTACATAATTTACATGACAATGAAAATAAAAACTAGCAAAACGTACTTCCATGTAGTCTTTTGCTTCATTTCAACTTTCTGTCAAGATAGCTTAAAACTAGCATAAAGTACTTTTGTAGTCTTTGAGCTTTCTGCCATTCTTTGTTCTTTATTTCAGGCATCACTCGCCCATACAAAGGAAAGACATACAGATTTTGCTCATAATAACAATAGTTAAGAATATGTCTATGAGTACAAACGGGCCCAGATATTGCGGAAGAATCGGCCATTTGAGTGAGGTCTTACGTTGAGAGACATTTTTGGCTATATTTTGGAAACCTCAAGGTGTTTGATATGTTGGTCACGCTGACAACACTCCCAAATACCAGCACGGACCTTCGAAAGCGTAAACTTAAACCAGTCACCAGTTTTTTTATCCTTTCACAGTCGTTAGGTCATTAAGCTCTGGCCGACAGGGTACTCTCCAAGCAGAGGTTAGGGTTTTGGGTTATTTTTGGCGTGTTTTTAGACTTTATCGGGGTTTCTTTTTTTGCATAGGAATTTTTCTGTCACCCAACCCAAAAGAAGGAAAAATTCCTGTGCAAAAAAGAATCCCCGATTTAAAAAAGTCTAAAAATACGCCAGAAATTCTAACCTCTGCTAGGAGAGTACCGAGAGGGCTCGTGTAACACAGGCTGCGGTCAACGTCCTCATGTTTGTCATTCAGGTCAAGTTTCAGTGTAAGCCGGTACCCGGCACGACGGCGTCTAAAACTAACAGGTTTGTCACGTGTGTAGCAGAGTACAGGCCTAACACAGGAGTATATATTTCTGCCGATTCTGCGTCAGAGCCTGCCAGGCCAGACTCAGCTGTACCAGCCACGAGAGGCTACCCGCGGTCAACGTCCTCATGTTTACTATTCAGGTCGAAGTTCAGTGTAAGCCGGTACGTACCTGGCACGGCGGCGTCTAAAACTAACAGGTTTGTCACATGTTGAGGACCTGGTGAGAATCGGCTGTACCAGCCACGAGAGGCGCTGCCCAGCCAGATCCGCAGAGAACGACTGAAGCTGCAGATCGTCTGGCAAGACGACAAGGACCCAAGCTAAGAGAGCAGAGTACAACTAAGCCGCTAATAGATCTAGCTCTAGAAGTCGTAGGAAACGTCCAGTATGTCACATAAAAAGCCCGGGATTGTCCATAACGGGGTTCTGTATCCTCATCTTGTCACCAAAGAGATTCTCGAAGCCATGAAGAGCTTCCAGACACGCGACGACGACATCGTCATCGTTAGCTTTCCCAAGACAGGTGAGAGGAAAACTTCATGATTTAGTACTCGACAGAACAAGGTAAGACATCTCGATCATTGTTGATACAGCAGGGAAAATTACCTGATATTCTTGTTACATCGGCAAAGTAACGCAAAGCAAGGCAAGGCATCTCGGTCATTGTTGGAACGGAAAATGCACCTGATATTCTTATTATTGCCTATTTTTGTGACAAAATGTACTGTAGTAGTTTCTAGTTCATCTAAGACTTTCTAGTTCTGTAACATTAAGTCTCATCAACATATATATTGCTGTGTAGCTCAAGGAGCTTTCCAACACCCACTATGATAGTGACAATAATAGGGATATAGACTAACCCAGATGAATACATAACGTGCCCGTTAGCTATAACATTACAGGCCTTGTTGACATAGAGAGTCCGTCAGGAACTTGACCTTTGGTACGATGGCCCGTACCGACAAATATGTCGTCTGCGCAAATCAATTCGTGAGCTCCACAGTAGACTGTGTGTGAGCTGCTCACATGGCCCGACCCTGCTTTGAGTGTTTGTATTACGTTCCCTGTAGGTACGAACTGGACCCTGGAGATCGTGACTCAGATCCTGCAGGCCACTGGAAGGTCGCCCGCCAAGTCAGACGACCACATCATCGGGAAACTGGAGTTCAAGTACCCCGAGGACCCCCACCCCTCATACGTGCTGCTGGAAGACGCCCCCTCCCCCCGGGTCATCCTCACCCACCTCAAACCCGGGACAGCACCCCCCGGGATCGCCAACCCCCGGGGAAAGGTATAGGAGAATTTCAGAACAAAATGTTCGCGCTGTTTTGAAGTTTCACCATAAGCAAGGCTATAGGTAATGATAATAAAATATTGACAGAACGCCATTCGACCTGCGCTGTTAAAACGTAGAAATGCAATGTTTGATGTACATGCAGTCACTCCTTTATGGGTCCAACAGACTTGAACTACTAATTACCACGCTGTCATTGGCTGTACTGCTATTAAATTGTGAAGAAGGGTCAGGATCGGTGTGTTTGTTGTGCAATCAAACTTATGATCATGCGTTTGTTCCTCATTGATATTGTTAGGTTCGTGCTACTATCAACGGACACTTCGTCATAATCTCTTTCAGGAGAAAATACTGGTGGTGATGAGGAACCCAAAAGACACGGCTGTGTCCCACTATCACTTCATCTTGAAGCGAAGAAACCTCGATGCTACCCAGTTGCCATGGCCTAAATACTGTCAAGACGCTCTTGCTGGGAAAGGTGAGACACTCTCTGTCTGCTGTCGATCTACATTTGAGCGGGTATAAGAAACAGTAACTGCACTTAGATGTGTAAAGATTGGGTGTAACAGGTTGTTCGGTGTAATATGGCTAGCTGCCGCCGCACGAAGAGCGGTTATGCCGGCTATACAGATACAGAAATTTGGTGTATCACGCCGAAGGGCGGTTGAACCGGCTACACTGATACAGATGCAGATACAGAACGGTCTTGACTATCTAGTCATAATTTTTTTTCGTCTATCTCTCTAGAGTCACACGGCAGCTTCTTTGATCACGTGTTGGCCTGGTGGGAGAAGCGAGACGACCCCCACTTCATGTTTCTCAAGTACGAGGACATGAAAAAGGTATCTGTTTGTTTGTTTGTTTGTTTGTTTGTTTGTTTGTTTGTTTAATTAGGGTCTCTAATTTAATTAGTGTATCAATTCACACTATTCTTCCTGGAGTTGCAACATTGACATGAGAAAGGGAGTGGGGGGGGGGGCAAAAACATTAGACTGAAAGGTTACATACATGCTGACTTCGTCGTTTTATATCATGAAAATCTTTAATTCAATTTCGATCATGCAGGACATCGCCAGCGAAGTGAAGAGAATCGCAACGTTCCTAGAAGCTGACCTAGACGCCGCCACCATTGCGGGGATCGCAGAGAAGTGTACATTTGAGGGCATGAAGGCAACCCTGGACAACTCCCGGTACGAAGATAGGAGAGTCATGGCCAGGAAAGGTTTGTTACTTCGTCCTAAATATGTATGTATGTGTAGATATATATGTATGTTTGCCTAAGACTAAACTAAGCGGTAGTCTTAGACTTAGACTAGACTTAGTCTAAGACTAGACCATGTGAAGCTTATGACTCATCTTTGTAAAAGTTGTACTTTATGTTTGTTTTTCTGTTGATTTCCTAGGAGTTGTTGGAGACTGGAAGACCCACTTCACCGACGAACAAAATCAAGCCTTTGACGCTCTGTACAATGAAAAGTTAAAAGGGACAGGGCTGGACTTTGAATTTGAGTAGATGACGTTTCAAAACGATTTTTACATAGACCTGGGCTTCCCTCAATGTTAGTAGATTGCATAACTGGGTCCATAATTGTTACGATTCAACAATATTAGCACGTTGTAAAGTTCTACACAACATTGTCAGACGAAGGTGCGACCTTTTCAGTTGTTAGTGACTCGGAAAAGGTACATGGCAGCATGGGCATTAAATCTAATGTACAAAATACGATGAACATTGGCTATTACTAATGTTTATATTACCTCATTTTTCCGGACATGTACACTGACGTCTCAGAAAGCAAACGCGAGCAAAAAAGAGAATGAGAATGACTATCAAAGGATAATAAAGCTGGTGATTAGTTTAAGTTTACGATTCTGTGTTTTTACTTTTGATAAAACAAAGTTTTAGCTTTGGGAATTAGTGAATACTCCAAATTACAGATATAAATAGAGAGATAGATAGATAGATAGATAGATAGATAGATAGATAGATAGATAGATAGATAGATAGATAGATAGATAGATAGATAGATAGATAGATAGATAGCTATATAGAGAGAGACAGATTGATAAAATCATATAGATAGAGTAGATAGATAGATAGATTGATTGATAGATGGATAGATAGATAGATAGAGTAGATAGATAGACAGATAGATAGATAGATAGACAGACAGACAGACAGACAGACAGACAGACAGATAGATAGATAGATAGATAGATAGATAGATAGATAGATAGATAGATAGATAGATAGATACACTGACTGCGACGAAATAGAACCTCCCGCCACCAATCAAGGATAATTGTATCAACTGTAATCTGTGGCGCGCTTTGGTGTCACCTGCGTTGCCAGGTAACGAGATTTGTTTTTCATGTGACCATTTTCCCAGCCAATGAAAATACGGAAGCAAACTTCCTCGACCAATGAGAGAACGCTTCACCAGTATTTAAGCTGCCGCGCGGGAAACATCGTGAGCCTTTGCACTTCAGTCAGCGGAACAGGAG